ACCCAGTAGTGGAAAAAGAAACATTATTCGCATCTAGTTTGCTATCCGAGAAGTGTTTTACTTGATTGTGGATTTTTTGCATATTTCGATAAGCATTTCAGTTTAGTTGAAGCACGTAATTAGACGAAAACCATTCGCTTTTTTTTAAATCCATTTTCCAAAATAAATAAAATTTAATTCTACGTAGAGCGAATAAGCTTTGAATAAGTAATTTTCGCCATATAAAACTTTCATTACAATACTGAAGAAGAGAATATTAGACAGTTGTCATACGAATCAAGATTTAAGTTCATTCTATCAAATAAATCATGATGATTACGGAACGCATGACGAAATAAGGGTAATGTTACTTGTGAAGGACAGATATATGTTTTTAAATTGTTTGAGGTGGTAAAGTTTAAAAATTACTACCAGAGTACACTTTCGCACGAATTACACCAACGTTTGGCTTCAATTAGGAGTCTTAATCTTTCAAAAGGAGGGCGCTAAGTCATACAGTGGATACATGAATTATATATTTAAGGTAATTGGCAGTAACGATGGATAGCGTTTTTACTTGTCTACTAACAAAATAAAGTGAAACAGAGAGTATAGGATAAAACACGACTAGGATAGACGCATAACTATTAAATAACATTCAGCTGTTATTACAAAGAAAACTGAACTACTCTTTGTTACCCTTGTCTAACGTATTCAACATGAAAAACAGTGCAATAAGCTAACTAGTTAGATTAGTATTATTGCTTGACAGTTGAAATCACTGATTATGATTAGCACTTAACACTGTATGACCTTATTACTATCCATATGCGAAGTTTAACCTGATATAAATGGTTTCCAATGTCCAGTGTTTGACTAACCATTAGCGTGTATTATGTATATAATTTTGCTATTATAATCGGGGACGTTTGATAGTTTTCATTTCCAGCACTATCAGATCTTTTCGTTGGGAAAGTAGTGTGAAGTTTGTAGAGATGACTGTTTATTGGTTAGGTTTACTTGAGTGAATAACAAAGGTCGATATAGTAAATCATGTATGATTGACTGTTCAATGAGTTCTGTGAGAACAAGTAAACACTAAATTAAAATAAGTCCACTGAACCTTCAAGTAAAAATATAAAAATCCAAAGGATATTAGGGTTAGTAGAAACTAATGACGATAATTTAATTTGACAATTTAAAACAATAAAGAGTCGCATGAAAAATGTTCGTTCTTTCTACTAATCAATTTTAATAAAAGAGACTGTTTCTGAAAAAATCATATTGCTCACGATTCTTTTTGATGATGTTTTAACAGTTATTATCACCTAGATAATCTTTGACGTCAAGTTATTTATTAAAATTCAGTCGTCAGTAAAAAAAAAAACACAAACTGTAGCAAAATGAGCTACTCATACATGACAAATCAGTTACATAGAGACCATTCACCACCTCAGGCTGTTATGATTTAGGAGTTGAATAAGTAGATTTTAGTCCATGATTTGCATTCATTTGAATGTTGACATATCAACAACATTAATATTCTTCGTGGTTTTATTATTCCTCTTAGAGGTTTGTACAATTAATGAAATATTACAGATATAAAACTAATTTTTGTCACTTTTAGCTGTCAGTTTAATTGACGCACATTATCACTTAAATCTGCTAATAACTTTATTTGACAGTTTATAATGACAGAAATTATACCTCCTTATTATATGTTATAAATTGATTTGCATAATTTATTGGACAATATCGTGTTTGTTTCCAATAAATCTGGATGAATGATTTGTTTACGTATTTGGTTTAGATAGGAGATTACAGAAATTAAAACTCTGAAAAGATAATTTTTTCAAATCATTAATAGTATTAATGTTTCGCTTTCGAGTGATAGGAATAACAGCTAACTAAAAGTCTAAATTTAGAATAATTTTCAGCACAGAAAGTGATAGGCAGAAGCAATCAATTAATGATAACATCAATCTTCTTTTAAAACTATTCCTATACAATAACAAATAAAGTGAAATAACTTAAACCGTATACATGAAAATGTAATTATGGATTTCTTATGACCGATTTCTAGAAATGGAAAGATGAATTGATATTATATTGAGGAGCGGATACCAAACGTTAGGTTTGCACTTTTTTGAATAGGAGTTAGTCGATTCGGATCAAGGAAGTACGACTATGGCAAACATACTAAATAAAAATGCATGCCTCATGTTATACTAATTTAAAAATCGACCAAGACAGGAAAAGAACTAAACCTAAAATGAAATAAACTGAAGAGATAGTTTTCCTTTTACCTTGAGGGTTCCATGTGAGGGCTTGTCTTGTGACGCAGTTGGGTGCTTTCCTCCATATGTGTCTTATCCACTTCCAAGGCTTCTTGCTGATTTCCTCCTCCGCCTATATCTGATTTGTTCTCTCACACAGTAAGTTGTTGCTGATGGTTTCTGGCCAACGAGTCTAAAGTATTTTGCGTAGACAACTGTTAATGAATACTTGTATCTTCTGGATGATGGAAGATGAAAAGATTATGGCATTATTAATCGTAATATTGATCATCACCAGTTTAACTATGATGATAACAATAACATGAAGAGCTTGTGAAATAAAATAATATACCCTGAATTCATGGATTCTGTATAAATGCAGGAACTATAAGACAGGCTTATAAGAATTTAAACGATACCCTTTATGACTGACTTTATTTAATGTCAACAGATTAAGTAAACCAGAGAATATTTGTAGCACTCTATTTACTAATTATTACGATCTTCATACATAATTTATGTGATTGTCCTACTGAATGACTGACGGAAACGTTTTACAATCAGAATCAAAACTATGGCGATATGAATGTGTGTAAAAGTTCATGAAGATAAAATCTGAGTCCACTTCATCAAATTCATTATTTTTACTTAAATTAGAAATTATTATCTGAGGTAACTACGGTTAGTAGACTGTTCACTCGAGATTGTATAATCACTCACTTCTTCACACAAGAACTTGGGAGTAATTTAATAGATATATTGAAGCCAGACTTCTGTTTTTATGCTTAGTGCAGAAATGAATAAGTAGAAACAAAGTATATATTTTAAATCATATTAAGAATAAAATTCAAGCCTGATCAGAACAGAAATTAAGTATGATAAAATTTAGACCGAAACGAAGATATATAAACTAACTATAGTTGGAGGAATCAACTTGTTCAACTCTCATATACTGACTAGACGCCATCATTCTAAAAGAAGAGTTGGCGACCTGTACACAAATGACAAATCAACTTATTTGTGTTTCCTCCATTATCTCTGGATTTCCAGGCGGATTCGGTTTATAACTAATATAATCTCTACATCATAAAATAGACAAATAGTAATTACGGAAAAGTTTTATACAAATATCGAGCCATAACTTTCGAAGCGAAACAAATAACAGAAAATTTTTACCAGGCCATATGGTAGTAAAAGTCGTTGTTGGCTTATCCATTTTCATGATTACAAAACAAATTTCTCCACTCATCATCTACTGTGAAGTAGTTATTTACCTATCTGAAGATAATACTAAAGTGTCTTTTATATCTCGAAAATATAACTTAAATTCTTAAGACAGATTTTGCAGCTGTTTCAATTTCTCCTTTATCAAATTTATATCATGAATTCTTTAGTTTATTCCAATGCTATATATTATTCACATCTGTCAAATTTAGCTTGTCATGATAGTGAATTTGTAATTACTCTTTTTTAGGTAGTTTTTTTTTAGTGCAAAGGAATTGATCACTTAAATTTATTTGTTATTTCCATATTTAATATTTTCATTTTACGTTCTTATCCAGCATGTTAATCCAACTGCTGAGTATCATATCGAAATATTATTAAACTAGTTGGTGCTGAAATAAGATGTACAAACCAAGGAGAACAAACTATAAATTTTACAACTCAGTAATTATATGAAAATCGTTATCACATTCTAATACCTATGCCCATTATAATTATATCTGAAGGCATGGAATAAGGTTAATGAGAAAAACAACTTAGGAATACTGTGGTTTATAACAACACTAGCCGGGATCAATTTTTCCAAATACATAGTTCACACTTTTTGGAACAAACCTATCTAATAAATTATTAGAATATATATTTTTTCACTGACTTAATTCATCTATGCGTACCTATAAACACTGAAAACAATTAAACTCATAAAATACATGCATGTTGTGTAACTTACTTTATGTATCTTGAACACTACTTTCAGGGTTTGTTTGTCATACTTTTTAATTGTAACAAATTCCCTCCAATTTGTTAAAAAGCTGAGAAATCAAAGTTGAAATAAAAAAGTTCAATGCGGATTGCTACAGACTTTTGTACAAAAAGTAGAAATACTTAATTTGTGCCAAATAACTAGTGAATTTAAATGCGGTGGAGAGCTAACAATTCAAATACGGAGCAGTTTAAAGATTACCGAATATGTATAAACTGATGTGATTTTTAAGTGCTTATATTATCAATTTGTTGATATTCAGAAATAAATGTTGATGCCACTGTCAAAGTTAGTGTATCTTGAGTAGATAATATCGGCAAAGGTGTGCTCTTACAAGTAGCACTTATTTAGATTTCACTGGCAGTGGGATCTCAGAACCCCATTTACCATTATTTGGTACTTATTAGTTGGTTATATCTGTAACATGGTTTAAATATAGTTATATTTAAGATCGAACTTAGTACCTGTCGCTTCAAACACCAATAAACAAAGGTCATATTCTTTAAATAGGTCACTGGTCATCTGTACACAGTAACTGAATAGATAACGCTGTCAAGTTTGAAGTCACAGGCAGTGGGTCCGAGTCTCAACGCTAACAATAGCACTGAGATACAGGTTAACGCAGCTAAAAATCTTAAATAAAACGAAATGTAAGTACTGGATTCCATTATTATTCACCAGTAAATCATGTTAGAATACTTGGAGAGGCATGAAATATCTATCGTTTAATTAGTTTATTTTATTTGTTTGAATTTTAGTTTCACTTGGATGTTCGGTTAACTGAAGTGAATCAAACACTACTCGGTCGACCATTAATCATTACACATGAAACAAATAGTTTTCCTTTTGATAATTTCGGTCGTTATTTATATGAATATATGAATCCTGGATCATTATTAAACATATTCTATAGTAAAAGTATCACTAAACGATTACATACCCGACGAAATCCATGTACTTCGAGACCAATTAACTTACTGGGGAACAGTTTTGATTATGATCAAGTGAGTTAATTTATCATAAATAAAAGTTTATGAAGGTTTACATCTTTAAAATTGTAACGTTAACTTTTCTTTAAAATTGCAAAGATTTTTAATTTACAAACACAAAACAGTTAATACAATGCTTGTACAAATATCATTGTATGCTAATTTTCTTACTGATGATAGTTTCGTCTAAGAACTACATGAGCAGATATGATTGTGCTCAAATGATGTAACTGAACACTTGGGATTTAGAAATAAATAACTGAACAATAGTAGTAGGTGGATAAAAGAACGGGACCGAATTTTTATCTTTCTTGTGATCGGCGTATTACATTTTAACGTCCTGGAGATTCTGTAATAAGGCTCAAGAAGCAGCATAGAATTTCGAGCATATATTGTAATTCAGTTTATGTAGGAGTGAAACACCATCGACAAAGGAGGTTAGGACATGTGATTAGTGGTAGAACCGGCGGTTCTGACTGAATAAAGGAAGTGATCAAATCAATAAGCTGTATCTTTCCAAAAGTCGTTAGCCTGTAAATTGTTTGGTGTTAGGAGATGCAAACTTTACGGCTTTTGTTCTCGAGACATTTTTTTAAAGTTTATGGTCACAACTAACATTTCTTTTCTTTCTGTTAAAGATTTACTGAAAAACTTTCATACAAAAAAATGTAGTGCACTTACTACTTACTATTTTGCCTACAAATCTACTCTCATTCTTTTTTGATTGCATGAGGAAATCAATAAAACAAGCTTTAGGACAACTAAATTAGTGTTCTGTAAATAGATTATGTGGATTGTTCTTTTTATCAAATGACTATTTTCTAAGCTTACTTCAACCAGTCAAAATGACTGTTGAAGTGTTTTGTTTATTTTTATTCTTCATCAACATCTTACAGTTTTTCAGCATATGTCATGGGTTGTTTTTTGACCGACTGATGCACACTCAAATAGATGCGAAACCCATTATGTACGGCGCTTTGAGCAGCCATACTGTATAATAAATTTATTCCACCTTACACTGGCTCACTTTTTTGTACCAAACATTCTATAATTCCTAATTACATAGATTAAAGTCAAAAATTAACGTTGATCAACTGAACTGTAAAATATCCGCGCTTGAATGTTCAATCATTTTAACTGAAACATTTGTGATCCGATTTCACTGTTTTTTCATCATTTTCTCTTATCGAATTTTTTAGATTACTTGTCAGTGGCATACTGTTTGTGCACGATACAACAAAAAATGTAATTGTACCTGTCCTTTAGAATTACTTCGTCTTCGATTGGATCGCGAAATCAAAAATAATGCTGTGAATAAGTCACTGTTTATGAACGCCAATCTAAACCATCAGCACTATCGATCCAAACATTACTGTCCATCTAACTGTCAGCTTGACTATCGTATAGCCTTTGTGAATAATTCTATATGTCCACTGGCATGTCGTACAGTAACTTACAAAAAATTAAATGAAGTTCTAGACAATGTTACAGATCGTTCAGTCGTACAACTAGAATTAATTCAGGCTGAAGGTTTAACTGAAATGACTGAAGAAGCATTGTATTCACTGCCTAAATTATTTAGTGAAATAGGTGGCCTAAGTTCATTTTGTTTTGGATTTAGCTGCATTCTGTTTTTCGAGCTGTTGGAGTTAGCTTTTTGGCTAAGGTGTACTTATCGTTCACAATTTCTTGAGCGTGTAACAAAACTTCTAGGACAACATATGGAAATTATTGATGAACCTAATGAAAAAACTCTGAAAAATCTTCAAAATACTACTGATAAATTATCATTTGCAGAAAATGTTTGGCAAATACAAGATAAAAAATATGATAAATCAAACGACAATAACATTAGTTCATATAGACAAAAACAACGAAAAGATGAGCCATTTAGTCCAGTTACTTTAGTTTCCAAATGGAGTTCACACGATCATGAAAAGGAAAAATTACGTAAATCTTCATTGAACTGCACACCGACCCGGTTGAAATTTCGTACATTAAATCACATAGAATTAAATCCATTAAAAATGTATAAAGTTGATGGTACGCGCTTAAGTGAATATCCTAAAGATCAAGACAGTCCACTAATCGGTTTAAAATCGCATAAAACATTTATTTTCGAAGAACCTACATCGGGAATAAATCCAAATTTTTCTGACTATGTTCAATACCCAATGGATTTGTCTACCTTCAACCATAAAGTTCAGATTTCAACAGTTCCGGTTATTTTGAATAATCAATTATTTCAAGTTGCTGTTGACTATGAAATAGCTTTATAACAATGGTTATATGAAAACAGCCATTGATACATTTTCATTTTATAACCTTATTTTTTTGAGAAAATTTCTGAACTAGTATCAGTGAACTGAATTGAAGATCACGAACCAAATGTTTCTTTGAAAGAACTTTCATTTTGAAATGCATACTTTCCATATTCAATTACAGTACACAATTAGACTAACCTAAAAAATGAAGAGTCTACTAGGTAATGTATGAAAATGTCATATATTGAAACAACTGAGTGTACATTTATAATTTTAAAAAATATGCATGTACTGAAACTTTTTATGAATATGTATGGATTTTCTCCTTTGTTCCCATACTTTCAATCAATTCCAGTTACGGAAATTCAAAAAAGATATATACTACTAAATACGCATGAGTTAACTTGTAGATTTAATAACTAGTTTTAGTTGGTTTTACTCGTTTATTTAATTTCAAGAAATCAGTTCACTAAACTCTACCAATGATATCTCTCTTCTAGTGCTTTAGCCAAAGTACATTTGTTCTATAAATGTGAAATTTTATACTCTCACTTGTATAAAACATTTGCCAAATAATAAGGTATTTCGAAGTTAAACTATCCAAACAAATAATTTTACAGTCTCAGTGAATCGTTCTATGGAATACTAGACATTTGTCGCAGTAATAATTTTTACGATCCTAACAATATATAACTTCAAAAGTGATTATAATCACTCTCATCCTATGTTACACTGATTATGAACTTAGTAGTAATTTTCTAGGTTGATTGATATTACACAACAGGTAATTTATTCCATTCGTATGCTGTTTAACGATCATTAAACATACTAAGTGATGATTTTACAATTTCACTTTCGACTTAATTTGTTTTTATTTCCAAAAAGTGCATAAACTTAGATAGCCATTTATCTTTATGGAGAGATTAATAATCAAAAATGTATTACGTTTGATTTGTTAAGCGTAATTTTATGAGTTAGGTCTTACTAGTTTTATATGTTAAAAGTTTTTTTCGAAAAGTGACGTAAAATGTGCTCAACCAAATCATGTCCCAGAGATAACGAGAGAAAATTGAATGACCCATTATTAGTTGTAAATTAACCGGCATCTAAACCAGCTGGACAACAGTCTGGTTGTAATACGATTTGCAGTAGAAAAAGCTGTAATGATACTCATTTTCCCCGAATATTTTTTAATTGATAAGCACTACTGAAAATAGAACTATAGTCAGTCTTTTTGTTTTAGATGACCTATCCGCATGTGTTTTTGTATTCATTTAATTCAGATATTCCCAAATTCACAGTTCATGTTTTCGGCAGTCCACTCTTCTATGTCCGTAAAGGCTATTTGTTTGTAGCCAGTGAAGGCGAAACCAAAAATCACGTTGAAGAGGAAATGGCTTTAGGGACTGTACCAAAGGAAATACATACGTAAACTCTCAGTGTGGACTGAATATTCATTCACGAGCAGTCTTGAGAAGCATAATCAGGAAATTGTGTGTCGTATCTAAGTTGAATAAGACTTAAAAGACTTTTCCTTATGATATCCAAGATAATAGTCTGATTTCTGCGGATAGTAGCTGATTAGTAAACTTTCTTCCTAACTAAACTATCACATAACAACCACTGTTTACGGGGTTGTTTATCTTATCCTCAGATAGAGACATTTTCATTTCATCAAAATGCTATGCAACTCTTAAGCGCAAACTGTTTAAGACTATTGTGGTAATAAGATCAATACCATATATTTTAATTTGATTTCCTTCAAATATGAAACTTAGCAGTAATAAAAAATAACAAAACCGAACATATGGCCAAAAATATGTGAATGTGTCCCGTCAAACAATATTTTTTTATGTTCTTGGTTCTTCTGTGTAGTACATAATTATTTAGTTGGCCTGCCTTGCAGACTTGATCAAACTAGTAACCTAAATCAGGTTTTGTGCTTAGTTAGATAGTTCGCAGGATGAAGTGGCCGTATACTAATGTATTAAAGGGTTCTGTGAAATGACCTTACACTGTAAGTGACGCGAGTGTATCTTTAGCAACGCCATGAATCGAATACACTGATTGCTTATCTAGTGTCTTGAAGTCTACTCATGAGTAAAGTAGTTCGTGGTGTATGATTAGCGTATTGTTAGTGGCAGCCTATTCTATTCCTAAGGTCATTTTTTTAATATCTCTGAATTCCTACATTTTCTAACTTATCGCTTATGTGAGGGCTACTGAGTATAAACAAACAATGTTCGAGAACTGAGTGGACGCAGACTTTGTATAGTACAGTTTCATGTCACCGCGAATAGCTACCTACCTTTTAACTGATTTCATGGAGATTAAAACTAGTGACAATCTGCTTGAAATCAACGTCTAGTGTAGAAACATATGCGAACATTTTAAAAAATGCTATGTCTGTTTCAGGTTTTCAGTTGGGTTCTTCGTACAATAACAATAATAATTTATCTCAAATAACAACGTGTTACAAGAGGCATGCGGATTTACAGGCAAGATCAAAATGTTGAAGGTTGTTCAGTTATGTAAATATTTCACAAGATACATTGGCTTCTTATAGATGGCTAAAATTTTTCACATAAAATTATCGACAATGTTTCAGACTCTGGAATGTACAATACGATAGTTGCCTTGAGTAACGATGGTTACTTTGACGACGAACCATTAATGGTTGAGAACCATTGCAAGGTAAATCCAGGTATGCATACAACAAGAATTGATGACATAAATGTGCAACGATCTTCTGGTTGAGATTCGTCAGACAATAAATTTACAGTCCCCTGGCTAGAATAATCAGGTCTCCAACAATTATCCGGGCTAAAATTTAGTAGAATGAGTTGCTGTAAAAGAGAAATATACATCTCACAAGTGTCTTAAAACTTGTGTTGTAAACAGTGGATTATAATGATTGTGGTGGTGTTTCGTTCTCTGAGCTGGTTGTGTTTGGTTGTGAAGCTTTCATTGTTCTTCTGACTAACATCATCAGCACAAACTTCAGATAGAAGTGAAACATTCGAATTTCTCCACGTTTGACCTGTAGCTTGTTCTGCTAACCTTGATCTTGATTGGTTGCTGTTGACCTTAAACCTGTCCTTTGTTTTGATTGTATCCCCTTTTTGATCTGTTTCTTGATCCTATGTCCCCTATGATTTTTCGGATTGGTTGAAAAATTGGGTCAATGTCGATGTGTTTTTTGATTGCTGATTGACCTGAGTGCCTAGCTTCTGAAAATTCTCTAGTATTCTTGGTCCTCCCCCTATCCAGTATTTCCACATTGTCCCAATCGAATGTATGTCCATAATTGTCGGTATGTATTGATATAAGCGAAGAGTTGTCGTGGCGTTTGACTGCTAATTGGTGTTCACGTAAACGAAGCATGAGAGACCGTCCACTTTGTCCTATGTAGTGTTGATGATGTTGTTCAGAAAAACAATGAAAGCTTCACAACCAAAACAACCAGCTCAGAGAACGAAACACCACCACAATTATCCACCTGAGCTACAAGTTTTCTCCACCATCTCAGAATTATAATGAATTTGCTATTGGGCTTAGTATACTATGTACTGGTCTAATTACAATGGTAGTATTATGTACGTAAATCATACATCCTCCACACTCTATATGATTTCGATCAAAACGGTTCAGTTTATAGTCATCTTTAGTAAGTTCTCTATTAAGGACTCGTATCATATGTTCATAATTATAATAAATTTTACAGTTTGGTGTTTGAGGCAGTTGTTATTATTCTGAAAGTGAATTCATTGATGAGCTTAACAATCAAAAGATCACGGTTGCTTAAACAGTATTCCACCAGATTCTCTATATTTAACTAAGTACGTGAGTTTCGTTTGTCTAGTTATGGCGGAAATTCATCCATAATAATAGATCTGTTTGGTGAGCGTTTACCTGTTTCCTGTGATAATAGCGGTGCTATTTTAGCATACACATCTTCACTGTAGCAGATGACGAGGCTTCCAGAAGATGTATCATTGTTCGGTTTATCTGATTCGGAAGGTTAAATTATTTCTAGCTCTACGTAAATGCTAGCCAATGCCAACTTTGGTGTTAGAATTCGAGTATTTGATATAGTATTTCATTAAAATGATGATTCTCATGCATCAGAGGGTTACTGAATAGGAAAGCAGTACTTATACTGATGAGTTGATAATCCTTGTATTAAGAGCGTGAAGGGAAATCCGATCCCTTTTTCATATCGGTAGACGTTAATTCTTACTGATTCCAGATAATTTTGTATTTGATTCCTGTGGAAAAAGGGAGAAAGAATAATGATTGAAGTCAGGTTTATTACACTACCAAATGACTGGGATTATCTGTTATCATCATTTAAACTGTTTCAGTAAGCTTGATGTGAGTGAAAGTGTATATATTTTTGCATAGCATGCCTAGAAACAAAGAGTTTCTCGTCAGTGTTTATTTTCAGGCTTACTAAACCCCTAGGTTTTCTCAATTTTGTATGCGATTTCGTTTTACTTCTAGTGGCTCTCGTACCAGATACGTACTAATTATCGACTGAGCGCAGACAATTCGCTTAACATCTTGATGGGACGGTGTCACTGCTTATTCCCTCACTATGTTAGCACTCCAACTGGAGCCCTTCTAGAGCCACTGCTTGCCTGAAGAGAGAAGGAAGGTTGGGTATGCGGTTGGCGACCCCATCCCGTAGAAAATCAGCTCGCTGAAAGAAAGCTAACCAGGGTAGATTATTCATACCATTTAAACTCTGCCCTGGGAAATTTAAGCTATTCATTTGGAAGAATCTCTTGTAAAAGGCCAAGTTTCTCTGAAAATCAGGAGTCCGATGCCGTTTTTAACAAGCTGAACAACCTTTAATAAATGTACACAGAATGTTCGTATATTGTGGTCGACCGCAAAACCCATTCAAGCAGCTGAGGAACTGAAAAGATACGATCTGATTGTTCTTGAAATTAGTGAAGCACATTGGACTCAGGATGGACAAGAAATATTTACCTCAGGAAATGTGCTGCTGTACTACGGCCATTGAGAAGAAAATAGCTCACACAAAATGCTGCACTAATGTTGCCTAAAGAAGCCACAAATCCACTTCGAGGATGATACTCATATCAAACCAGGATCATTAAAGCACTATCAGAGAAAAACAAATGCTGGATTGCAACGAATGTCATTTGCTGCAATGTGCATAGCAAGGATAATAATGCGTACGATAAAGATCGATTCTATGAGAGGCTGAAGTCAGTCATCTGGAAATGTCCAACAAAGGAATTGACCATTCTGATGAGATTCCTAAACGTTAAGGTTGTAGTGGACAAAATCGGATATGAAGATATAATATGGCGACGTGGAGTGGGGAAAAGGGATGAAGACGGTGACAGATTCGCGATTCCATGTGATTTCAACAAACTGGTTATAGCGGTATGTGTATATAACTAAGGGATTCTGACACCAAAACTTTAGTACGAATATTCCGTATTTCTAGAATTAAGTCAGCCCGCTAGAGATATCTGGTTGGATAATTGGCTGAACAAACCTAACCTTTTTTGTCATATACGGAAGAACGTCGTTGTGACTTATTGATTATGTAATTACTTTGTCAGAAAAAAGGTCTAATGCTACATCTAGTGGTTCATTAGATAGACAAGTTGATTGTGGCACATCACTAGTACTTATATTTTTGCTTTTATGACTTTGCACGTCGACATATTTAGGTCCCATTATGAGCATCTTCAATGGCGATCATACCGGAGTCCTAAATGGAGCAATTTTCGCTTTTATGACTTTGCACGTCGACATATTTAGGTCCCATTATGAGCATCTTCAATGGCGATCATACCGGAGTCCTAAATGGAGCATATAACCTCCTTGCATCTTATCCGGATATTCCTACAAGTACGTAAATACTTTTGCGTACATACGGCCGGCTACAGTTGATACGTATTAACTGGTTTAAGTCTGGAACTAAGATCCCGTAGTTGATCCATGTTACTTGGTACTTCGGGCCTTTTACATTCAACACAATGACTGATAAACTGACATAGTAATCTCAAAAGCTTCAACAAAACTAATTCTGCTGCCGAACACCGTAAATTACTTCTTTTTCATAATATAATTAGTGGAAAGAATTCTGTCCCCTGATGGAATTTCCAGCGTGATATTAGAACTTCTTAAACCGACAGTGGAAACGTTCCAACGTGCTTTTAACAAGAGGATGATATATTTTGTACAGAATGGTGTTAGAGCCTAGAAGATACTGAAAGTTGTGGAGAGGCATAGATTTGGATTCAGAACCTTTATCTACCGTTATTGTAACAGGTCAACATAAAATCATTCGCTTGTCCTGTGCAATAAAGAATTCAGTATGGAATAATACCCGATTGTTTCTACCTGTTTTTATTGATGTAGTCTCTTCAAAGCTTATTGTACTTCTTAGAAATTCTAAAGCCTGGACACAGAAAACTCACTTATATCGATAAAAGATAAAGCGAACCATTTTTTCAAAAGTTCAAAAGTGGAAGAGGTGAGGCAGGAGCTTGTAATGGCACGTGTTGAGATTGACTATCGACATCACTGCAAACCAATTACGTTCCGGTTACTGAGCGTAATATCTCCGTGAGTCAAGGACTGAGAACAGGAGTTAATTCATACAAAACCATATATTTGCTAGCGATTTCGTGATATTGAACGAATACCGAAATCGTGCCAGAAAAGAGGGGCGAAGTTAGAGCAAGAAGTATAACCGAAATAACAGCAACATAAACGGAACGTCTGCGCGTACCGACTAGGAACGAACATAGAGTACAGTAAAGCAATCACTTGTATAACTGGTTATACCGATTAGTGTTTCTATTCAACCAATCGCGTTCTCTTCATTAAAGTGGAGTCACTACAAGTTCGTACATAGAATTGAAGTATTAATCACAACTGTACATCAGCTTCATTGACTACGAGAAACCGTTACATATAATGGACAGAACAACACTATGGAGGCTTTATACGGAACAAATATGATGTATTAAACCGCAAAATCCTGCACGGAGGACAGCTGACGGACATGTTTGTGGTGAAGACCGGTGTCAGTCAAGGTTGCTCACTCTCAACCTCTCTCTCGCTCCTGGGGATCAATTGGATTATAAAGACGTGTACACCTGAGAAATGCACGGTATCCAATGGACAACTGGTGTGCAGTTTGATTATCTGAACTTCGCAGATGATCTAGCTCATACATAGCAAACGCAACAACAAATGCAAGAGAAGACGACCAGTGAGGCAGCAGCAGGTCTTAACAAGATTCTCAGTTACAACACAACATGCGCCAACCAAATCGCACTTGATGGAGATGCCTTAGAGGATGTAAAGACCTTTACATATCTAGGCAGTATCATTGACAAGCAAGGTGGATCTGATGCAGATATGAAGGCGCGGATCGGCAAAACAAGGGTTGCATTTCTGCAATTGAACAACATTTGGAACTCAAAACAATTATCAGCTAACACCAAAATCAGAGTTTTCAATACAAATGTCAAGACAGTTTTACTGTATAGGGGGGAGCTTGTAGAACTACGAAAGCCATTATCCAGAAGACACAAGTGTTTATTAACAGTTGTCTCCGCAAAATACTTCGTATCTGTTGACCAGACACTATCGGCAATATTCTACTTTGGGAGATAACAAACCAGATTCCAGCAGAGGAGGAAATCAGGAAGAAGCGCTGGAAGTGGATGGGACAAACATTGCGGAGAACACCCAACTGCGTCACAGGACAAACCCTCTCTTCTAACTCCGAAGTCAAAGGATAAGAGGAATGTCAATGAACACATTACATCATGTAATTCTAACCGAGCTTTGTGATTGTATTTCAGGTCTATTTATACAGGTTAGAACTACTACTCCCAGTGTTGATATAGTGATAAGAACTTGACCTGTATTATTTTATTTTTACTACTAAAAGTACACCTATCTTCCTACTCTCAACAAAGCTACGTGGTTTTCCCCTGATCACGCCACGGAGAAACATCATCCGCATCAATAAAAGAACAGAAGGAACATGAAAGGTTTAAGAATGAAAAGAGGAGCTGATATAGCTGCAAACAATCACTTGGTGTTGATCAAGATGATACTGAAACTCAAGAAGCATTGGATAACTGATCGAACATTACCAAGGCCATTCTTCGGGAAGCTGACAAACTCAACTAGTTCAAGATGGCTTTCAGCCATAAGTTACAGGCCTTTCACGATCTATTCAACGGAGAGAAAACTACGATGAAGAACAACTAGAAGGATATCAAAGAAGAAATAACTTCAATACTTCATAAGGTTTAGGGACACAAGAGGCATCATCATTCTCTGGATAAGACTGGAAAATGGAGAACAGGAAGACAGCAGCAATTTTAGCCGAACAAGAGAAGGGAAAGCGACGGCACAAGCTGACAACGCATAAAGGTATGAAATTTTGAGTTGTTTTTCAGTTGCAGCATATAAGGGCTAGCAATAATAAGGCAGCTTTTAGTCCTTCGGTTTGTTTTTGGCGCACACGGGTTTTGTTCTGAGTAATCAATCACTTGTACACCAAAATTTGTAATATAATCGCGCAACTCAGACGTGCTGGCGTGATTCAAACTGCTGACCCCTCTGAGTCGTGAGACATGGAAGTATCCTGAACCATCAACAATTCTAAACACCTAAAACAGTATTTGCTGTTTTCCACTTACGAATGCTCAGCTGAAACTGTCTGTAATTATTAATAACGGTTTCTTGATGTCTCTGTAAAGCACTGTTGCGCCTTACCACTCACACGATATAAGAGACTAAACCAGAAACAGTAGAGAATAACTCCCGGAAACTAAAACACAACTGTCATACTTGCCCAAACTCTGAAAAAATAAGAAGAAAAATTAGCATAATCACATATACAAGTCAGGAGTTAAACTTCCCCTACTTACAACCTATGTTATCCATGCTGACCATACAGTTAGCACTCATCCTGTGTGACTGAAAACATCATACAGCATATAACCCGCAACGGTAGTATATAAACGGTACTGATTGCAAAAGCTCCATCTTTATTTAACAAGTTAATTTGATTTTCTTGGTTTTTAAGTCCATTCTCACACTCGATTATTCTTCCCCATAATTTCTAATTGTCTACAATGATGCATACTGCCCACGGAAGTTTAATCAGAAAATGCTCTGTCAGGAACCATGTTTATATGAAAACATGTGGTACATCCACACTTGCTACCGTATTTTAAATAGCGCGCTTCAGACACAAAACAAAGACATTGGTTGTTTGCCCAACTAATAAACAAGTTCTACGCTTATTTTACAGAGAAATCAAAAAAAGGTTCAAATATCAGTTTCACATAACATTTTAGTTTATCAACATGTTACGATCATACTCATCGTCCGTCTTTAGCGCGGCTATTGAAATTTTGAAAGTAAGTCGTAAATATTGTTCAGACTGACAGGGTCACATTGTTGAACTTAGTGATAATGTTTCCAAAGTGCCCCTATTGCCTGAAAAATTTGTTGTATTGAAGTGAAGCATGCCTTTAGTATTTTAAAGCCATTCAACTGACGACTGAGCAGGTTTTCCCGTTACCTTTGTTGATGCACCACCCTAAAAAGCTGTACTGTTGCGGTTGTAAACTACCTGAACATAATATTTGTCTCGTAAATGCTAGTGAGATATTGTGTTAGTAGATGACTGGTTTAGGTAGGGTTTATGCGGCTCAGATATTCAGGCGAAACTAATCATTATCATTACTTCACTGACAACCACCAGATTATTCGCGAATGAGCGTTCGAGTCTTTGTTTCTTAGCGTGCGTGTTTTGCACAGGTAATAACTTCGTTTAAAACCGGTTTTAGATATTCGGATTAAATCTCAGAGACGAGATGTCTTTAGGGTCACACCAAGTTTATTGACTCCTATCTAGTTGGTGTAACTGTCATTCCACTCATGGTGACAGTGTCTAAGTGACAGCTCTTTACATGAACTATGGTCTAACGTTAGAATAGTCGATTGACGCTAAACATAGTATTGAGTCACTCTTGACTCTGCGGTCCATCCCTTATAAATGCTCGCGAAATTTTATATTGCTTGTGTAAGATAGAAGTTCACTACGTATTCCAGATAAGTTTTAATTTTCCATGTATTCACTTGGAACGATCAGATTTGCTGCTCTAGATGTTACTAAACTGTGGTTATGACGAAAGTAGGGCCTGAGAAAAATGTGCAATGGTTCAGGCTGCCAATGTTTATATTCTGTGATAAGATTGCCAAGTATAGAAGAGGAAGTAATGCCGATTACAAAGTAGTCCAAAATGAACAGTTAAGTACCACATAATGTTTCTTTTGTCAGTGTGGAACTACAGCGTGCATTATTTTGGTGTATGCCTCATGTCGGTTGTACCTACTACGTAGGATAAGTAATACACTGATTTCCCAACTTTGGCGAGAACTGTGAAATTTCCCCCAAATCAGGAAACTGTGGCTTTTGATCATAATCCTGTACTATTGAAAATCATTTTGTTATTTATTTCTAACGCGGTGTCTAAGTAGTAATTAGAGAGTCTTACCTCCAGTCACCAAACCGTTGTTTCAAATCCCTCTCAATTTACTTTGGTTTTCTAAGGTTCGCCGTTGACGCTATGTACGTGGTAAATGTCCCACAAAGTTTCTCGCTGAAGGTAATTACTTTTGAGAATATGTACTCTTAACAATCACGGTATAGTCATTTCGGGTAATAGCTTATCAGAAGTTGTGACAACCGAAGATTTGAAGTTTTGCAGATGTTGTGTGTAACAGAGTGGCTACTAGAAATCTGTAAGTAGGGAGTTATTCTCAGCCGTTAATATCGTCAGGGTACACTTGCTGCTAAACCATCTTTTTCTAACCTTTTTTTCGGAAAAACAGCTTAGCTGGAGATGTATGTGTGGGGCACCTCAAAGTCACCTTATCTTAGTACAAATAAAAGTAAGAGTTCGCTCTTGGTATAATTGCACTCCAACCAATCTCCATTGTATGCTAGGATTGTTATGAAGGAAGGCTTTATTGATTGATGAGACAAACTTCTGTTAGTAAAAATAAGTTAACAGAAGGCTAGTCAATGGGTTATACGTACTGGTGACTACTCGTGAAACCCCATTATCGATGATAGCTGGTGTAAGAGTGGCTGGGTTCAAAATCTACGGGCGTGTTCTAACGTACTGGTTTCTAGTGGTAGCATGAAATATGAAACGAATCTGCGTGTGATGAAAGGCAAAGTAGTATTTACCAATCTTTACTATTTCGGAGGGCATTGTGACGTTCCTGCTGGTCATGTATCGTTGTTGTTTCCAAAGGATTGACTAAGTTTAAGTGTCATGATAATAATGTGGAGATTCAGCGGTGTGTCTCCGAATTCAGTAATGGTAATGCGCTGTCATTATACTAAAACATCAACCTCAATAACCTGGACATCAGCCCAGTAGTTCGCTCCGTCCTACTTTATGGCTGTGAAATATGGCCAGTCAGAGTAGAAAAAATTCGTAGGTTGCTTGTCTTCAATCATAGGTGTGTTCGGAGCATTGCTCGTATATCCTGTGACAACCGAGTGAGCAATGCTGTTATTAGGAAACGGGTGCTAGGTAAGGATAGCACATCAATAGATGAAGTAGTGAAACTTCATCAGTTGAGGTGGTTGGGACATGTGTTACGTATGTCTAACCACCGACTGCCTTGACGAGCTTTGTTATTTAGTGTAGTAGGTTGGAAGAAAGTTAGGGGCGGCCAAACCAGAACATGGCAAAAATCCATGAAGTCATTGACAAGTGGACTGAGTCATGTTGGTAGATGTAGGTTATCTGGTTGGAGTCCGCAAGACGAATGTCACCAGTGGTTAGAGACCCTGAATTACATGGCTCAAAACCGTTTTAAGTCTATTTCACTAGATTCTACTTTTTGAATAATATCTAATCCTAACCTCTCCGATTACTCCTAATACCTCTACTACATCTATTACTTGAATTTGAATTGACAATTATATCTCTGCTAACGTGGTATGGCAACATGAACTGATGTAGGTACGTGCAAAGTTCTACGTCGCTATTGATTGGTTGGACATCAGCTACGAATTTTATTCAGTCAACTCGCTCATCGTACTTTATTCGCCACCTCAGATTCGATCAGATTATGATGTGATCTTGGAACGTGATAGAAAGCAGTTTATGACTAACATCTCTGTGTACACAACTCCCTGGTTGTTGCTCTGGAAATAGTACAACTCTGAATTGTTATCGGACTTCGCTCAAAACAAAAGTCAGATAACATTTTTTATAAAAGTGAATAACCTTAGAACCTTCTGGACGCATTTTTCTTTACATTATTCGTCCTTCATATCAAGATCTACTCTGATTCACTTGTTTTTCTACATTTGCTTATACTCCTGCTTTTTCTATCTTTCAGTTTCTTTTTTATAGCGTGTACTTATTTTAAAACTCATTTGTATAAATTTAGCTTCACTAAATGAGTCAACCGTTTAGCATCAGGCAGGCTCTAGCCCTTTATTGCAGTTCGATTATGGCTGCATTTGACTTAAGATAAAACATAACTAGCGTTTTCTTAATGCCGAACACTGATCTCTAGTTGTCAGGTGATTCCTATTATTTTAGTCTGATAAACTTAAATACAAATCCCTGTGATCTTGTTTAGGTTACAAGTTATACACCAAATTTCTAAGCCCACATAATATTTCCTTCATCATTGACTGTACATTATTTGACTTAAGTTTCCAAAATATTTTAAAATTAACGTTCTTTTTCAGCTTCTGTACGTTATTAGGTAGCCAGTTGTCTAGAACCCTTTCAACGTAGTGAATGGTCGAATTCATGGTTGATGTCGGACAAGAATTACATCCTACAAGTAAATGCTCGTGTGTTCTCAAATCTCTATTCATGTTACGTAATTTTGTCCATTTATATAAGATCATACTGTCCTCACTAGTTTAAAAATTTCATTGCATTACGTAGAATTTGTTTGATTGTCTCTAATAACATCAGTCATAAATTAGTACAGAATTAATCACAGTTATTTGATTTCTACCGAATGCAGTTAGTTTTTTGAGGCTGCAAAGGTAAGGTATCTACTTCCCAACTAAGTATATGTATATGTAGTAAGTTCGGAAACGTATACACTTCGATAAGAAAATATTTTTTATAGCTTCCTTGGCATCTGCATAATCAGACGGCTCTAAAAAAGTGCTAATAAAATGAACGCAAAACAAAAGATATATGTACATGCATCATATAACCCTACCATAATTTACACGACGTATTATTTACTCTCTATTGTTTGCCTGAGCTTACAACCATAAGATTTTTGTTTGAAGTTCTCAATTTCTAAAACAAACTACTCAATAAAAATGCACTTTGGAACTGATCAAAGAATGAAGACCCATTAGGATTTGTGATCAGGTTGATGTAAAACATACAGCATTAAAAAGTTGATCTGATTCGCTTGACAAATTATTTTTGTAATTAGTGGTGTGGAGCATGAAATCTATACCGGCTGTAAGACCACGTGTGATATTACTTTGTTGATGGAATACACATTGTAATAGGTTAAAGTCTTGTAAGCATATAGTTGCAGTTAGTAAGTAATATATGATGAACATGTTTTCTAGAATTATTGCTTTCATGGTGAAGTAAGACTGACTGCCCTTTTGTTTAATCAGCTATGGCTTGGAGTAAAGAACACACTGTCTGCCATTGTTGTTGTACTTCTCTGGGATGTTGTCTTTGTAATTTTATCACTAAAGTTTTGAGTAGCACTTTCTTCAAGAGTTCGTATTTTTATTACATTTATCAAATAGACGTTTTTTAATTTTTCAGTTAAACCGTCGACACCAACGAGTGGAAAAAGAAAATCTTCTAGTCGTTTGAGTTTGTTTCATTCGACTGCTAGGAAATCACGAGCATCTGCTGGTGACTTAAATTTACCAACCCCTAATTGTGCTGTTGCCTCGTTAGCTGATGGATCTTCTCCAGGTATATTTAGCTGATTATTAGGAAGTTGAATAATCTCTAACTTTTAACTGAAAGTATCATATCAAAAAAACTGGAGGGTTCTAATAGAATTCCCCGTTAGTAAAATTTTATTTCCACAATATTTTGTGCCCCATTTCTTAGTACAAACAGTTTTCATCCCTTACCTCAGATACCACTGATTAGATGTATAACTCAACTCATTGGAGTGAATTAGAACAAATATGTATCTATTTGAGCACCTGGCCGGAATGTAAGTCGTCATCAAACCTTTCGTTGCTGTAAGATAACTACCCACACAGTCGATGGACGAAATATGTTTCCTTCGCATTCTTATCACTAGGGCGAATAAAGCTGCTGTATTAATGTCATACCTTCGTAAATAACTAGCCTGTTATCTCACATACTGATTTTAACAATCGTTTGTTAGCTTTTGCATATTTCAGTCACCACGTGAAATTCACTGTGATATTGTTTCTCTGTGTATTTTCGTCCTTCAGACTTACAAGATACACCGTTGCGTGCTAAATTAGAAAAAAGACAGCATCGTATCTTCGAGTTCTTTGTGACAGAACGAAACTATGTTGAAATATTACGTTATTTATGCTTAAGTGCTTATTCGGTAAGTGTTGTACTTTGTTCTTTCTAAATTCAATTTCTATATTCGCTTGATTTTTTCGCACATTTTTCCTCATTGGTTTATTGTAGCAAGTTATTGACGAAAATCAACCAGGAGGGCCTGTCTTGCCTCGAAAGGAAGCTGACTTTGTGTTTGGTAAACTTGGTGCTATCTATGAACTACATGATCGATTACAACCTCAGTTCAATGAGCTGGAAAATAATTGGTCATTGTCTGAAAGTTGTCTTGGAAAAGTACTTCAGCTAAGTTTATTGACTGAAATGGACAGAGTAAGTATTTAAAAGGAGTATTCGACTTTCTATTCACAATTTGTATCGTAAAAATCTTGACTGTTTACGACGAAGTTTCGTTGTTTGATCATTGTTCTTCTGAACAATGAAAGCTCCACAACTAAAACCTCCAGATCAGACGGCGAAACTCCATCATAATCATCCACCTGAACTACAAATTTTCTGCACCATCCCAATCTTGATTGTCTTTATTCAGTGTTGCAATTTATTGACAGTTCTCCATGTTGGTTGAACTCACTACATTTATAAGTTCAGGTTGCTTATCAAAAGAAAAGATGTAAAACTGCGCATTATTGAACATTGATACATAGACCTAACTAGATGGAATAGTGGCTAACCAAATTTGATAGTCACTTCCACCATTAACTGTTATTTATGTGAAATAATAATTTATTGATGATCCATGTAATACCACTGGCATCATCTTGTTATCATGTACAACTTTTTTTGGTTTTGTCAATGTTAGGCATATGGGAATTATATGCAATTTTATAGTCCACCACATTTACATCACCTCGGTGAACAATTTCCTCGCTTTCATGCTTTTATGCGTCAAGTTGAAAAACGTAAAGAATCTGGTCGTCAAAGTTTAGCGGCTTTACTAGTTCGCCCGGTTCAACGGCTTCCTTCTATCTCACTTTTAATGGATGGTTAGTTTTTCCATGATTGTTTACCATGTATTAGATCTTTTACTCTATATCCATTATTCTCTGATTTGTGGGTTAAAATCTGATTACATTGAAAATCGCTTTAACTTCAATGATACACCAAAGTACTCAAATCATTGTACTTTGAAATCAGTGTTCCAAACTTTAAATATTATTGAATGGTTTTTAGTGGGATTCAGCCTAGTATTTATTTTTACCAGACTGTTATGTAAAATATCACTTTAGAAATACAGCTCATACTAAGCATGAGTAAGAAAACCTCACGACTTTCATATCTTGCAACCCTTTGATTCCGAAACATTATCGCAGTTAGTTTGTGCATTGTAGCTTATGGTTCACTTATGATTATAGTTTTGAAGATTTTAGCTGGACTTGTAACATCCTAACGGTTTTAAGAAAAATTTTGATATCGACTAACGACATCTGGTAAGGTGTTTAATACTACCTAATAGGTAATGTTTGTCAGCTTAAACGTTTATACCCACTCATCTTCACTACTAAAGTTTTCACTTTTCACTGTACTATGAATCATCAAGTTAGTACAAATAAATAATTAAATTCAATTCTCCACATTGTTGTCAATTTCGGAATATATATTTATCTTTAAATTATAAGTACGATTCACATCCTCGACCGCAGCTTCTACCTTGACGTGGTGGTCGGGCTTGCTTGTCGTGATGACCCAACCGAGCTTTATTGGCTGGAGCATATATTCCTGTAGGTTCTGCCATGCCAGGCTGGTCAATTATAGAAAGGTCAGACTAAAAACAGTTACTCAAGGTCTGAGGGCGAAGTAGTACTGTTGACTGTAGGGGGGTGTGACAGCAGTAAGGTGTTCCCCTCGAACAACCAGCATCTGCAGCGATGCCGCCTTCTCACAAGGGTTGGAAAATGTCACACCTCGACTTACCTCACGGATTTCCGTCTCCGGCCGTAAAGCCATTTAAAGAGCGGAGATGACACTTTAAAAACTTTCCATAAATAGGCCGTGTGTGACCAAGTTTGGACTCTGCGGTCACGCCCCTAGGTCTCCAAGACCAACGCTAATCTACCTTCGCTTTCAGGTTCCTTAGGAGACACTTCCACAATGTGAGCAGCCGGTAAGTGACACCCACCCTCATACATGTAACAGCACACAAGACCAAGTTGGTCACAATCAAATCCTTTCTACACCTCCTCATAACTCTTATCTTCAGGACCAACAGTTGACAACTGTTCTGAATTATCGAAGAAACTGGTACTAGGACTCTACCGGTTGGGAGATACTATCTGGGAAAAGAATAGACAGTACATTTCAGGGATCAATTCAACTGGCGTTCAGCCAACCTCAATTGCCCATGATCTCCAGTCAACTTGAATTGTGAATCAATGTAGGTCCTCCGACTCTAAATAATTTTGAGGAAGCTATGGGAAATCTAAAATGAGGAAGAGCTTCAGGGCCTGACAGGCTGGCCCCTGAGAATTTTAAGAATGGTAGTCTAGTTTTAGTTGTAAGATTGACTGAGATCTTAGATAGAATCTGTGAACTGGGTTCAATCCCATCTGACTGATCTCAGTCACTGATTGTCTCAGTCTACAAAAATGGGCGAAAGTCCTCTTGTGATAGTCATAGAGAAATCAGCTCGTAAAAAGCAGACTAGAGAAAACCAGGCTGGTTTCGGACCTGCATGTGGATGTATAGATCAGATAATCACACTGTGTCAGGTCCTAGAATATAGACACTCGTTCAGACGTCTCACTATAGTTGTCTTTCTGGTCCTTAAGGTGGCGTTTGACTCTGTGGATAGCGATATTCTGTGGCAGTGTCTGTCATTGAAAGGTGTACCAAAGAAGTACATTAACCTTATACAAGCTCTCTATCTGAACACTACAGGTCGAGTTGGAGCTTCTGGAAAAGTGTCATCGGAATTACTTACAACAATTGGTGTCCGTCAGGGAAGTCCACTTTATCCATTCTTGTTTGATTTTGTCATAGACATGCTTCTACATATAACATTATCCTCGTCTAAATTTTCAGTAGACCTTTCACAAGGAGGCTCGCTTATTGACTTAGAATATGCCGATGATATAGTCCTATTTGGTGAAGACGCTGACAAAATGCAGAGTCTTCTGACTACTCTAAGCGACAATGCAAGCATGTCCGGGATGCGGTTTACCCCGTCGAAATGCGAACCGCCGCTCTAAGATAGAGTTGCATCAGTACCTGAACTAGTGATTGGGAGTGAAGCAGTTGAGCGTGTTGACCACATTACTTATCTTGGGAGTCTCATTAGTGTCAATGGCTTGACGTTTGACGAAATCTCAGCACGGATACAAAAGCCTCGACTGGCTTTTGCGAACTTGTGTCAATTATCGTGTTGGCGAGATATCTGTTTGCAAAGCAAAGGACGAGTTTACTGCACAGCAGTTCGTTGCGTCCTAATTTATGCATGCTAAATATGGCCGGTTAGAGTAAAATATATTCGTAGGTTGCTGGTTTTCGATCATAGGTGTCTCCAAAGCGTTGTTCTTGTATCGTGGTGCATTCATTATTTGTGTTCCATCAAATCCTAACCTTCGGTTTTCGTCATCACCTTTATCTTTTTCTTTTCAGATCATTTCACTAGATTATGCTTTTTGAGTGATATCATCGAACTCTAATCTTTCCGACTACTGCCAATACTTATGCTATCTATAATACGGATTAGATCTGACAGTTGCGTCTCTGTGTCAATGTGCTATGGCCACCTGAACTGATATACGTGCGTATGTACGAAGTTGTACGCTGTAACTGACCGACTATTCATTACTACATGTAGTGTTTTCTACTCTGTCTTCATCTGTATGAAATTTTTTTAAGTGATAATCATTAATGTTTACTAATAGTTTTCAAACAACCTAATTTACAGTCATTATTTCACAGGTATAGCGAAATTCACGCCTCAGTCACATCCAGATTACAACGCAGTCAAAGAGTTCGCTAAGGGAATTAATGAGCTGCTGGCTAAAATAAATGATAGATTACGGAAAAATGAAGAACGTCTTTCTTTGCTATCTTTATATCATGAAATTAGTGGTGCCCCGGTAAGTTCTTTACCATAGAACATTTCATACAGATTTACTTGCTAAAATTGTGCCGTACAATTTGTCTTTGTGTTTCTTTCGAATCGATATCTTTTGTAATTTCAGCCTGAGATGTTATCTTCCTCCCGAAGTCTCGTGGCAAAACTTAACGTTTTTGAATTGGGAGTAAGCGCTTCTGGAAACACAACTTGTGAACCTGTGACGCTTTTCTTATTGTCTGATAGTTTGGAGGTAGCTCGTCCTCGTAAACGATTTACTGGTGAACCTCTTGCACATGCTATTCGAGCCGCATTAGCTGCAGTACAAGGTAAATCCTGCCTTCCATATTGTTCATTTATTGTGCCACTTCCAATTCAAGTATCTTAGATTACTAGAACTTATTCATAATTTTCTGTGTTGATCTGTTCATAGGATTTATAATGCTTTTTCAAATAAGTAGATTTGATAGTATTATGTTGTGAGCAATCAGTTAGTTAGTGTTATACATATTCTACAGGTGATGGAACCGAACACAACTTCGACGGTAATCATGATCAAACTTCAGTTAATACTGGCGATTCTTCGTCGAATCCATCCACAAATAATACTTCAAATGGAGTTTCTGTTTCTCGGACTGGTTCGGGTGCATCTGGGACGAGTGTTGTAAACCTTGGTCTTATGGAAGGCAAACAGAGATGCTGTTATAAACACCTACAGTTGTTAAAATTACAGGAAATAAAGCAAGTGCGTTACTTTCTGATTTTGTCTAATTACTTCATTTTTCTAATCGGTTTTTATTATTCTAATTCTTCAAATGTGAATAAGGAGCATAGCTTCGAATCCGTAGCATACTCGGTTTTGAAGTGAACTGTAGTACTTAAATGATCGTTTAGTAAGCATTATTTATGAGCATATGTTTACTTCCTGCTTTAAAAGTTTTGAGTTATCGCCCAGTTCACAAACTTTGCTTGATTTATAATTATCTATCTCGGTCGTCCATTTGCTTAATTTATCTTATGTTAAAAAATAACATATCACTGGACCCTATGAAAATTAAAGTTATCTTTACTTTTAGGTAGTCAATTTCGATACTGCCTCTCCAGATAGAGCTGCTTTCGGTCTAGTTGTACGTTCCAGTTCGGAGGTTGATGATCGTGTTCATGCTTATTGCTTGGCTGCCAGTTTTGCAGCTTCAGCGGCAGTCGTCAGTGGAAAGTGTCCAGAACCTGTTGAGTCAGCAGTTGCAGCGGCTACAGCATCCGGACAGATTTCTAATCCAGTCAGTATTGATACCTCTTTAAATATTAATGCTTCTAATTCAAGTTCGTCACATGTAGCAATGCTACAGGCATGTGTTGGTGAAGCCAAACGTGTTTTTCTTCACAGATTGTGCCATCATATTTGTCTTGTTTCGTGTATTACAAAGAGCCCAGAAGAAATACTAGTAGATGTCGAACCAGAAGAACTCCTTGGTTTTGACTTAGAACAGGTTTTCAACGCAACTGCTTTGGCCTTGTCTTCGAAAAGGTAAACATCGCACTACATTAATGTATGTTATTTTATCAATAAAATGGACAAACTTTGTTTTTGATTGTCAACCAGTGGGTTTGAAGAATAAAAGCTACTTAGAATATTGTGCTTAGTAGCTCCTATTTGGTCGTTAAACACCTTGACTTTCAACCTGTCTCAGTTTCTCACTTATTTTTGGTATATGCAAAGGGATGGATTTACAAACCCTTACACATGATATGGCTCGAAGCCAAAGAGAAAGCTTGTCCTGTGACGCAGTTGGGTGTTCTCCGCAATGTTTGTCCTATCCACTTCCAGCGCTTCTTCCTGATTTCCTCCTCTGCTGGAATCTGGTTTGTTATCTCCCAAAGTAGAATATTGCCGATAGTGTCTGGTCAACAGATACGAAGTATTTTGCGGAGACAACTGTTAATAAACACTTGTGTCTTCTGGATAATGGCTTTCGTAGTTCTACAAGCTCCCCCCTATACAGTAAAACTGTCTTGACATTTGTATTGAAAACTCTGACTTTGGTGTTATCTGATAAGTGTTTTGAGTTCCAAATGTTGTTCAATTGTAGAAATGCAACCCTTGTTTTGCCGATCCGCGCCTTCATATCTGCATCAGATCCACCTTGCTTGTCAATGATACTGCCCAGATATGTAAAGGTCTTTACATCCTCTAAGACATCTCCATCAAGTGCGATTTGGTTGGCGCATGTTGTGTTGTAACTGAGAATCTTGTTAAGACCTGCTGCTGCCTCACTGGTCGTCTTCTCTTGCATTTGTTGTTGCGTTTGCTATGTATGAGCTAGATCATCTGCGAAGTTCAGATAATCAAACTGCATCTTAGTTGTCCAATGTATACCGTGATGGTCCCAAGTATGGTCTATTTGGTTCTGTGTAGTGTGATTTGATGAAATCCATGTAGCTTTGTGTTATGCGTTTGTGTGGGAATATTGTGCAGTTGATGACCAGTTTGTTGAAGGCACGTATGTTTGCTAACTTCTCACCGTTGTTGTTCCTTTCTAACAGTCCATATCATCCCGTGATGTCTTCATATCCAGTGTTGTTCATGCCAACATTGGCATTTAGCTCTCCCAGCAGAATGGTTAAATCCTCTGATGCGCATCTCTCGAAGATTGTCTGCTGGCTCTCGTAGAATTGATCTTTGACGCTTTAATTGTAGTTGTTGGTAGGTGCGTAGCTTTGGATGACGTTTGTAATGCCCTCTTTCTTTGTTTTTAAGGATGATTTGATGATTCAGGGTCCATGAGATTCCCATCCTATCAGTGCCTTTTGTGTTTGTTTTTACAGCATCAGTGCAACTCGTTGTGTGAGTCATTTTCTTATTCATGACCATAATATAACAGCAACTCTCCTGAAGCTAGTTCTAGTTGTGCAACCAGTGTCAAATGTGTTTCACTGAATCCAATCACCTTCAGTAAGTGACCAGTTACAACTCAGAACTTCGTATGTATGTAAATAAGTTCAGGTTGCCATACCACATTAGCAAAGAGACAATTGTCAGTTCAAATCCCATAGTGGTAGAGATAGTAGAAGTATTGGCGTTAAAGGAGAAGATTAGGGTTCGAAGATATTCCGCAAGTAGTATAACTCATTGAGATAAATTTAGAAAGAGAAAAGTAGAGGTTGTATCTTTTCATCTGTGCAGCAAATGAGAACAGTCTCCCGAATTGTTCGAACATTCGATGATCCTAAAACAATGGTTGCTGTGGTTGTCAGAAGGGGCATCGGCTTCGTGAGTCACAACTCTTCTGAATGAAGACCTTCCAACTCTGAGGGCTGAGTTTAAATGGTTTGAATTATTTTTCCTGTTAGCGTTTTTTAGTGAGTTAGATAAGGTCATCAATCGCAAGCCCAATCCTCTTCTTTTATCCGGGTCGGGACAGGTGGTAGCCACAAAGGGTTTCTAAGTGGAGTTAAAACCTTTCAATTTAGATGTTATAAATGCTACACTTACTTAATCTGCAAACAGGTTTTGTCATAGATGTCCAAGCAATCGTTTATATTCAAGTTAATTTCTCTTTAACTATCAAGCAACATACCTAATTCACCTATGGTTCAACACATCTCTGGACATCATCTAAGAACCAGTGCACAACAAAATAAGAACTCCCTAATATCATTAAATACACCCATGTTTGTGTAAGCTAAAAGTCAAGAAAACATATCTTCCTTATAATTGTCATCTTTGGTTTCTTATGCATCTGTTGATATATATAGTTATGTTCTTGTTTAATTAAAATATAACAGTTTGGAAGTCTGCATTTTGAATTTCGGATTCTTAGTTAAACACGTTGTAACCACTCCTACTAGATGGTTGTTGATGACTATGTTAAGAAAATCGGCTACGTCATACAAAATTTTGTGACTAATTTTAACCTGTGCAGAAGTATGATTAAAATTTGTTTCTGTATATTTTTAGTCTTATTTGATGATAGAAACTTGTTTCTGTTCGTAACCAGGTTCTGTAACAAAATCATTTGATGAAAATATTTAATGATTATTGACGCTACACTTTTCTTTATTTGTTAAATACGTGTATTTTTATGTTCTCATTTACACAATTGCGCATCTACGTTTTTCAGAATTACGCGGCAGCTAACTCGCAACATATCCATAAAGACCCCTCGTCGCCTAGCAGCTTCTGCCAAACGTCAATTCGGATCACAGCCTCCACAACCTCCGAGCACCCCAACTTCTCATCGGTTACAAGTTCCCATTGAGATAGATGAAAGTCAAACAACAGACATGTACCTTATACCAAGTCCGCGACGTTCGATGCTTGGATCATTTCTGGGGGTAAGTGTAGTACGTCATCACACACAAATATTACTATGATATTATGGTAGTAATAAATTTAGAACTGGTCGATTGGTGTTAACTTTCTTAAAATTGACAAAATTAACCGTTTATTAAGAGGGTAGTAATCAAGAAAATCTTCTAGTGTATGCTTGGCTTGAAGGTAAACAGTCATACTTAGATTCATCTAATATTAAACCAAACTAATTGAATCCTAATAAAATTATCTAAGTACAGTTAATAGAGATGGGTTTATTCGAAAAGTATTTAGTGGAGACAAATTAATGCGGAAAACGAAACACGTAGTAAATTGTAATATATTTCTGTCTGCACAATAACCAACTATAAAGTGTTTCTCAGATTATTTGCATGGAACTGTAATTTCATGAATACTAACAGATGCTTTAAAGTTGGTAAAAAAAAACTTACGCAGTGATCGTGAGCAGTGGCGAGTGTCGAAAGCACCTTTAGGTAACAGTAGATAGTTGTTCAGACTTATCAAACAAACGGATATTAGAAATCCGGTTGTTGATGCTACTCTTTCGAGAAAAGACAGGACTATTATTCCAGGAGATTGGGACGATGGACAGAACGCTTTGCGGTACAGCTCAACTATTCTCCAACTACACTTCAGGTGCCCACCATCTGCAAACAACCTGAATAGCAAATTGATGTGAGTCCTCCGACCCTTTATTCAGTTGAAAAAGCTATATATCCAGTCTAAGGCTTACCCATGAGATTTTTAGGAATAGTGGTCCAGTTTTAGCAGTTCGATTGACTGAGATCATAGCTAGAATTTGGGAACTGGGCATAATTCCATCCGACTGGTGTCGATCACTGATTGTCCCAATTTTTAAAAAAGGACAAAAGTCCTCTTGTGACAATCACACAAGAATCAGTGTAATTAATATAGTATCTAAAATGTTAGCCTCGATAATACTCCGACGCGTAACTGGAGCTCGTGAAGAGCAGACTAGAGAAAACCAGGCTGGTTTCAGACCTGAACGTGGCTGTACAGACCACATTTTCACACTACACCAGATCCTGGGACACAGACATACATTTAGGCGTCTGACTTTTTGTCTTCCTGGACCTTAAGGTGGCGTTTGACTCTGTGGATAGCGATATTCTGTGGCAGTGTCTGTCATTGAAAGGTGTACCAAAGTAGTACATTAACCTTATACAAGCTCTCTATCTGAACACTACAGGTCGAGTGAGAGCTTATGGCAAACTGTCATCGGTGTCCGTCAGGAAAGTCCACTTTCTCCATTCTTGTTTGATTTTGTCATAGACATGCTTCTACATATAACATTATCTTCGTCTGAATTTTCAGGAGTGAACGTTCTATCAGGAAATTCACTAGTTGACTTAGAATATGCCGATGACATAGTTCTAATTGGTGAAGACGCTAACAAAATGCAGAGTCTTCTGACTACTCTGAGCAACAATGCAAGCATGTCCGGGATGCGGTTTACCCCGTCGAAATGCGAACCGCCGCTCTAAGATAGAGTTGCATCAGTACCTGAACTAGTGATTGGGAGTGAAGCAGTTGAGCGTGTTGACCACATTACTTATCTTGGGAGTCTCATTAGTGTCAATGGCTTGACGTTTGACGAAATCTCAGCACGGATACAAAAGCCTCGACTGGCTTTTGCGAACTTGTGTCAATTATCGTGTTGGCGAGATATCTGTTTGCAAAGCAAAGGACGAGTATACTGCACGGCAGTTCACTCCGTTCTCTTTTACAGGGCATTTGATACCTACTTTATTCCTACCGATAGATTTGTCTTACAACAATAGACTACTCATTTTCTGATAAATGATATTCTAGGCATTGTTATGTTTACTTTACACTCGGTTTATGAACTGCTTTTGATGCTTGAAATTTGATTAAAGCTTGAGTACATACTATTTCTTCATCTTTTTTTATCAATGATGTTTCTTTTTTGTATTTCTAGTCTTCTTGTACATCATTGAGCACTTTTCTAAATACAGCTTTGCGAACTAATAATAATCTAAATAATATCAATCATGGAAATTCCGCGCTTAATCGTGCTATGCTTCCTCCTAGTCGTTTAGCTATGACGCCCAAACCGATTCGACGTCTTCTACCTCGTTCGTCCAGACAAAATTCATTTGATGATCTTGATTTAAATGATGACGATGTTCCTTTTCCGCAACTTGGAAGTTCGCTTCTTAGTCTAACAAGTCTAGACAGTCTCTCTACGTTAGATAATCCTGTTCATCGAGTTGATGTAATTTCTAACCGCAACACTCCAAATCTTAAGTGTCGCGCTGGTAGTGCTGTTTGGGAATCAGCAAGCCATCTTGGATTCAGTACATCAGATGATGTTTGCCACTCATTCAGATCACCATCTGGCTCGTTTCTTGGCGGCTTTGACGAAGGTTGCTCTAGAAAACATGGTAAAAAGCAGAAAAAACCGAAACTTCGAGCTGTAAGCCAAATGTTTCAGCGATCTTCAATTACGACCAAAACAAAAGAATCAAAGAAAATGGGCTCTGACAAAATTAACACTGAGTTAAATCCTCAAAATTCTCTACCTAGTTCTCGCCGTGACAGTTTATTTCGTGGTCTGTTTTTCAGAAAAAATTAATTTTTTTATTCTGACGTTAATATTCTTGGCTTGTTTGACCGAATGCATTTGCTTACTTGTATAAAGTTTCAAGACAATTATATTACTCATTATTTGTATTTTACTATTTAGAGATATGTATGATTAATTAAAATGCTTTATTCTTCGTAATCACCTTCTACAAATTCATAAGTTATATAGTCTTGTACAAACTTTCGTCAGACCTTTCAATATTTTTCGAAATGCATCTCAAGGTATAAGGCATCCGATGATTGACTACCGATTGATGTTTTAATTCTGTCGCACAAATTATCCACCAAATAGCACAGAATATCACAAATGGGATTGATTCTGAACCGTGTAATTTGTGGACATGTCTTCTGGTTGGAAAGTTTTGTGGTAGACATCTGGTATTGAAACTAACTCACAGTCCTTAAGATAGCGGTAGCTCAATTTCCAACACCGTTCTGTCCAATCATATTGGACAGTTTCTTAGTAACACTAGCGCTTTTTGGTTCATACTCAGTTTAGAATGTGACATGCATACGTCGGTTTAAGTTTCCACACTTCATTAACTTAACAAGATGAGATTGTCGAATCGAATCGTAAATTAATAGATATAGTAACAGGGTTAGTGCTGAGAGAAAAGCATAATCATAGAAGACACGATTTTAGAGAAGAATCAGTGTTAGTGAAATCAAAACAACGTATACAGTAGTTTAGAGACACTGAGTTCACGTGTTTTTACTGTGAACGATGCTAATCCACATCATCCAATGTCTCTAGTCACTGGTTATAGAAATCATGTGGACCCCAAGTAAGGTGGTCTGCTCCTAATTACACGCCTCAGTCCAATGGTCGATATCTTCATAGGCTGATACTACATATTTGTTTGATCTCCCAACCCGCACAGCCATCATCATGCCTTTAGGTAGTCGATTCATGCACGTGCGTAATACATGTCCTATCCATCCCATTCAGTAAAGATTCATTGCCTCATCAATCACTTTGCTGTCCATACCTGAAACTCCGCTTTTGACCTCTGTTTCATTTGCTTTGGCAATTACAATCGCCCTGTACTTTCATCAACGTGCAGACCTCGTTTCGTCTTTTGAAGCGTTGGCTTGGGGGTGTCTTTGTTTTGTTAAAATATGTTTTTATGACGTATAGAATCAGGCTTTAACCGGTATTTGTTCAACGTGAGGTTTAAACTGAAATGTTGATTTTTAGCAATCGCGATTTTATGTTCGATTGGAGCCGTTGGAGAGGTTATAAACCACTTTTCGGTTATCAGAATAGTTCTCTGTAGTCAGTTTCCCTTAGTCTTTGATCTCTTTACACTTCTTTGTCTGTCTAGATCTTGAGAGATTTAAATTATTGATCCCTTTTTTCATTAGATATGGGAATCTGTAATTCAGTGAGAATCGTGTGTTTTTATAAGATTATATAGGTTATTGACGCGTTCGCTATATTTTCCGATTAAGATCGTACATTCGTAAATGTTTTATGTAAAGAAGATTCGTGATCAATGTTGAACAGCTTGAACGGATCACTGAACTATCTACTGGCCTAACAACAAGAGATTTAGAAATAATACTGCATTGAGAAAAATTTTTGTTAAAAATCTTGTGATTGTATCAATAATTTTTGCGCTTTTATATTTTAATGAGTTCGTAATCAGCGTTATCAAAGTTTGTCTTGATGATTTCTAATATATTAGGCATTGGATAGACTAGTCAAAATTAAAATAGTATATTTGTAAAGCTTCGAAGAATAAGAGACTACATTTCCGACATTTTGTGACTTGATGTAATCCAGTCCTCCAGAGAACACAACGGGAAAAGTACGAGTCCTTGAATCACATAATTAAAACAGTATGAAACAAGTAAAACTTCTATATACTTCATTTCCAAAAGATTAGATCTTGATCACCCTGACACAACTGCGTTAGGATTTGTAAAATGTGATACATCCTTTATTCGAGAGGCCAATCGTTTCGCTTTCTCTCGTCAGTACAAATATATCTTGACGTACACTTACATTTCCTTTTCCAAGACGATTAGAAAAAAGCAGAACTTTTCATTGTGCAATTTTTGACTATTATTTACCCCCTTGGTTCGTGAGATTGGAGGCGGACGTAACAATCTACCAGAGGTGTACACCAACGGGACGCACGTTAAAATTTAAATTTTTGAGTTGTCTCGTTTTAGGGCCATCACTAACCCACTAGAGGCGTGTGGACCTTAACGTTTAATAAATCCCAGAAACAAATAGAGTTGTAGGTCTTCAACGTCGAACCTGATCTCAATAATTTTACCGAGCACACCCTAGCTAAAGGTGCTCGTTCACGCATACCTCGCAATAACTAGTCAACCAAGCTCATATACTTGTCGACGCATCAGCTATCCTCTAAATATGTCATCGAGCTACTTCATCCCTGACTTAGGGACCTTCAATAAGTAAGGTGTTACGAACGAATGTGTTTTCAAGCTCTGAATATTCACATCTCTAATGGTTTTGGTAAACCGTTTTTTTTATTGAAGACCAAAATATGGATACGAGGATAATGATTTTATGAGTAAAAAGATGCAAATATTATGCACTTCTATTGTGTGATCATTGACCTTTTGATTTCTTGTTTAATGTAGCTACGGAACTTGGTTTTGGTTACGGATAATCCATGCGTGGATAACTTTGTATGAAAACATCTGCACCCACTCATACAGGTTTAGAAGAGTTTCAAATCTGGAATAGTTTGTAGGGCGAAATACTAGTATGTCTCATTTTTGTTTGAAAGTCACATCAAACCTGTAACCTAGCCATTAATATGTTTGTCAGTTTGCAAACTAAAGGCCACTAAGTTAAATCGAAGACTTAATTTATAAATAATCGTCAAGTACAGTTTTTCTAAATAGTATCTCACAAATTGCTGATGCGTTATATTTTCCATAAGTCTGCGATATCTTATTACTTTTCTTGTTTAGTTCTTTGAACTTTTCTTTGTATTAATTTTAAAGGAAACCATGTTTGACCTTTGTTTCTGGTTCTATCTACTTCGCATTCACTTCTGCAATACGGTGATTAACATCCTCTTTAAAGTCTTCTAATTCAGAAGCTAACGTATTTATTTTCAGCGATTACCCTTTGTAAAACGTATCAAGAGAAAGTGTTGAGGTTTTCTTCGTGATCTGATTAACTTAGAAAAATAAAAAGATGAAGTGGATAAACTCAGAGTTATGGGGAGTATTTCTAAAACTGATCAACAATCAATTCCGAAATGATAAATAATACTATTTTCCTGACAAAATAATTACAAATTTAATCATTAATGCCGTTGTTGTTTTAGGAAAATGAAATCAGAAGTCTTTTCTTCCAACACTCATAATTTTAAGCATTTCCATCCCGATAGTCACAATAACTATAGCATATATTGTACGGAAATAAAACCAAAAATAACTGACATTATAACTGAGTTATTGAAAAATGTTGGGATTTACTTTTTTCCTGACAAAACAATTACGAATTCAGACATATATCAACTGTTGGTATATCAACATCCATTGGGAGGTCTTCGATGTTGGGTGGGTTCAGTGGAGCTGATCGATTCAAGAGTTCTCAAAAGTGCCCTACCCTTTTACTTCGCTGTTCTCCAATGTCAGTAATTGCTTTGACTTCCTTGCTTGACATTGGCCTTTCTGGCTTACGGTACTTTCCAGAAATCTTAAGACACTCGCTAATAAGGAAAGTTATGAGCTAAATCGAAAAGTGCATTTAAAATAATACTGTCAGATACCATTGAGAAGACAGAAAATGCTGTCACGAACCATGTTTATATGAAAACATGTGGTACATCCACACTTGCTACCGTATTTTAAATAGCGCGCTTCAGACACAAAACAAAGACATTGGTTGTTTGCCCAACTAATAAACAAGTTCTACGCTTATTTTACAGAGAAATCAAAAAAAGGTTCAAATATCAGTTTCACATAACATTTTAGTTTATCAACATGTTACGATCATACTCATCGTCCGTCTTTAGCGCGGCTATTGAAATTTTGAAAGTAAGTCGTAAATATTGTTCAGACTGACAGGGTCACATTGTTGAACTTAGTGATAATGTTTCCAAAGTGCCCCTATTGCCTGAAAAATTTGTTGTATTGAAGTGAAGCATGCCTTTAGTATTTTAAAGCCATTCAACTGACGACTGAGCAGGTTTTCCCGTTACCTTTGTTGATGCACCACCCTAAAAAGCTGTACTGTTGCGGTTGTAAACTACCTGAACATAATATTTGTCTCGTAAATGCTAGTGAGATATTGTGTTAGTAGATGACTGGTTTAGGTAGGGTTTATGCGGCTCAGATATTCAGGCGAAACTAATCATTATCATTACTTCACTGACAACCACCAGATTATTCGCGAATGAGCGTTCGAGTCTTTGTTTCTTAGCGTGCGTGTTTTGCACAGGTAATAACTTCGTTTAAAACCGGTTTTAGATATTCGGATTAAATCTCAGAGACGAGATGTCTTTAGGGTCACACCAAGTTTATTGACTCCTATCTAGTTGGTGTAACTGTCATTCCACTCATGGTGACAGTGTCTAAGTGACAGCTCTTTACATGAACTATGGTCTAACGTTAGAATAGTCGATTGACGCTAAACATAGTATTGAGTCACTCTTGACTCTGCGGTCCATCCCTTATAAATGCTCGCGAAATTTTATATTGCTTGTGTAAGATAGAAGTTCACTACGTATTCCAGATAAGTTTTAATTTTCCATGTATTCACTTGGAACGATCAGATTTGCTGCTCTAGATGTTACTAAACTGTGGTTATGACGAAAGTAGGGCCTGAGAAAAATGTGCAATGGTTCAGGCTGCCAATGTTTATATTCTGTGATAAGATTGCCAAGTATAGAAGAGGAAGTAATGCCGATTACAAAGTAGTCCAAAATGAACAGTTAAGTACCACATAATGTTTCTTTTGTCAGTGTGGAACTACAGCGTGCTATTGAAATTTTGAAAGTAAGTCGTAAATATTGTTCAGACTGACAGGGTCACATTGTTGAACTTAGTGATAATGTTTCCAAAGTGCCCCTATTGCCTGAAAAATTTGTTGTATTGAAGTGAAGCACGCTTTTAGTCTTTTAAAGCCATTCAGCTGACGACTGAGCAGGTTTTCTCGTTACCTTTGTTGATGCACCACCCTAAAAAGCTGTACTGTTGCGGTTGTAAACTACCTGAACATAATATTTGTCTCGTAAATGCTAGTGAGATATTGTGTTAGTAGATGACTAGTTTACGGAGGGTCTGAATTCGTCAGGAAAAAAGTAAATCCCAACATTTTTCAATAACTCAGTTATAATGTCAGTTATTTTTGGTTTTATTTCCGTACAATATATGCTATAGTTATCATGACTATCTGGATGGAAATGCTTAAAATTATGAGTGTTGGTGTGGTGCTGTGGTGCGAACTACTTATAAGTAGTATATAACGTGAGTGTCAACGTAAAGTCTGGTAGCATAACACGGGGGGAAGATCAAGAAAGGAAGAGTTAGAAAACAATGGAATTTGTATCAAACGCATGAATAGTGACAATGGATTGATGTTTGGCAACAGAAACAGTCCAGTTCCATAGGATGAACTGATCTTTTGCAAATGAACGATTTACGATATGGTTTTCCTATTTTACTGAGTAACTCTGTAATTTTCGTTAAATACAATTCGGTTGCCTCCACCTGTGTTCTCATTCACTACATTTGGTGTCGCTGCCTGCTCGAAGGAAGGGGCTCCCGTGGCCGAAGGAGTTGCAGGAGGGAGATTGGCGGAGCTTCCTGGAGGAGTTTGGGGCCACGGTGGAGCTGGTGGGGGCCTGGGGCGGAGTTGACGGTGCTGGGGACGCTGCGGGAAGGTGAGGCGAAGGCGGTACGCGACAGCCTGGACGGTGCCACCGAGGAGACGGCGTGGGAGACGGTCACCGGGCGGCTGATAATGGAGTTCGACAGCCCAGCGGACAGGGAGGAGGCGCCGCAGAGGTTCCGGTTGGCGCGGCTGTCGGCCGGCGGTGACCTGTTGGTGCTTGCTGCGGAGCTCACCGGGTTGCGCCGTGAAGAGGGGGCGGGGCACAGTCTTTGGCGTCGCAATTTATCGAGTGTGTGTCTGCCTCCGTGTTCCAGCATCGACAACTTGTAAACGCTACACGTTGGATAGATGCCGTATCCTTTCCAGACCAGTGATCAAGAACGATGACCGAAGTGGTAATCCGGCATATTGTAGCGTGTCACGGAATGCGGAAGGTGATATTAACTGACCAGGGGCTCTGTTTTGCAGGACTACGACGACAGCTTATTAAAAGGGGGGACGAGTGTGGTGCTGTGGTGCGAACTACTTATAAGTAGTATATAACGTGAGTGTCAACGTAAAGTCTGGTAACATAACACGGGGGGAAGATCAAGAAAGGAAGAGTTAGAAAACAATGGAATTTGTATCAAACGCATGAATAGTGACAATGGATTGATGTTTGGCAACAGAAACAGTCCAGTTCCATAGGATGAACTGATCTTTTGCAAATGAACGATTTACGATATGGTTTTCCTATTTTACTGAGTAACTCTGTAATTTTCGTTAAATACAATTCGGTTGCCTCCACCTGTGTTCTCATTCACTACATTGGAAGAAAAGACTTCTGATTTCATTTTCCTAAAACAACAACGGTATTAATGATTAAATTTGTAATTATTTTGCCAGGAAAATAGTATTATTTATCATTTCGGAATTGATTGTCGATTAGTTTTATTCCTGATTGGATCAACACAGAAAATTATTGAGTTGAAATTGATAATTTCAATCGATATATTTCAAAATAAAGTTAATTTCATACAAATTCACCAGAGGTATTAAGTTTATTTAGAACTTCCAAGATTGTTTCACATGTCGGAATTATCGAAAAAGTAATTAACCTAAAAGAAAGTCACGAAAAATAATATGATTTAGTTTAATAAAAATCAAAGATCTATGAAAATATATAATTGTATTTATAAATCCTTGCTAGATATTAACTATACGCATAATTACCGACATTAATGATGGAAAATGAGTAGTTTGACCTGAAAGCATCAAAATCAGTTCTCCATGATACATTAAGGCAATCAATCATCTACTAAACATCCAATACTCAGTCATCTTTTATGTATTACAAAATAGAAGATTGATATATAGTTGTACATTTTTACATTGGTCGGTGTATTGTTCTTACACTGTCATTTCGACGTTCTAACCATTGTAACAATACTACTCATTCTATCCTGCCGTAGTCTTCTGCACGCCACACTTTGGACAATTTGTCTTTTACTACAGTTCATAAAATTCTTATTCACTTCTATATATTTGCAGAATATCACTACAAATTCTGAAATATTGAAACAAATTACTTTTGGGTTGCATTAGCTGAGCGTCATGTGTACTATTTTACATACGATTGTGACCTCATCGATTTTCATCCTATAGATTTACTTTCATGAAAACTTGAGCTTAAATATACCTAGTTTTTATTGTTAACCCGAATAATGATTGTCGACTGTTGGGATCTTCCAAGAAATTCTCATTCAGATTGTTGGAAGCCAAGAAAAAGTTAATCAGCATATCATGAAGACTTCTAGCAAACTAACAAACATGTCACTCTTTAATTTGATGGTTACATACTCTCACTAAATTTGATATACCTCCAGAGCTCAAAGGTTGACAAGCATACTATAGATATCTTGTTCTTGTACATTAGAGGACGGAAAAGTAAAGTTTCTATTCTTACTTATCTTTCTACTTTATGGGTTGTGAAAGGATTTTAGAAAGCGGCTAGCGAATGAGTACTGAGACTTGGATGGAAAGATTTTATCACACACCAAATGAAGCTTACTTTCAAAATTTGCAAAGAAAATGTTTACAAAACCGTAGTAGTGAGATATCTCTCAAAGAGTGAAATAGCTCTTTAATACTTCTGAATTTCCAATTACAATATGACTGAATTTGATAATTAACGAGAAGAACATCAGAATCACCATTGAGCTGTTAAGCAGGTTTTGAAAACGCAATGCTTTTTCATTTTTTAACGCTTAGTAAACAAAAGAATATGCAATAGTTTTTATTGTTGTCTAATCGTGTTTATAATCATGATTGTTCTGGTTAGTAATGAGTAGTTCACCAGGTCAGTATTATTTCTTCCACCTCAACATATCAAAGTATAAACGAGATCGAGTGATTTTAAGAAATATTTTCTGTTGTAGTCGTTAGATAGTAGTCTGAGGTCGGAAACAACTGCATCCATTTTTATGATTTAAATCTTAAGTTTTACTAATCTTTCAGATTTTGTTTTTCGATTTTATTTGTCCTTTTCAATTAAAATTATGCTTCAGTTGATATTATTTCTCTTCCTTTATCAGATTTCTAAAGTTCAATATTGCGACTTGGACCAGCACAGTTGTGCTGTGTTCTGGCTTGTCAATGATTAGATCACGAAATCAGATGATATAAACATACATATGATTGCACTATTTGTCCACGATAATGTTATAAAAAATACCCCTTCCTACACAGATCAGTCTTGTTATTGATAGTAGTATTGTAGTGAACGAGAACACAGGTGGGGCAACCAAATTGTATTTAACGAAAATTACAGCGTTACTCAGTAAAATTGGAAAACCATATCGTAAATCGTTAATTTGCAAAATATCAGTCGATCATATCGAACTGGACTGTTCCTGTTACAAAACATCAATCCATTGTGACTATTCATGCGTTTCATACAAATTCCATTGTGTTCTAACTCTTCCTTTCTTGATCTTCCCCCATCTTCTGCTGCCAGACATTACGTTGACACTCACGTCATATACTACTTATAAGTAGCTCACACCACAGTATCACTACCGTAAAACTATTAGATTAACATGAGATAATTATAAGAATTAAATATCAACATATTGAAAACCTGAAAAAATAGCACTTACTTCACGTTCAGTATCTTCAGGTAAATCAGTACAGTGAACAGCATTTTTCACTCTACTAATTCCAAATCTTGCTCTTAGTGTATCCGGTCGTAAGTACTGAGCGATTTCCTGTCAAAAAAAATACAATATTACCATACTTAACAAGTGAAATTTCTAAACAGATTGCTGCCACGTAATTGTAAGGAGATACCGAGAACCCAGTTTACATGCTTGATGGAACTCGTCAGAAAAACATACCCGTCGATTTTAAGGAAGTGTTGATTTCCGAGAAATTTGATTTAACACTAATTAGTAGTCGACATCATGAACGTTTTTAGAGACTAACTGTTAATCAGTTTATGTGAGCGTTCGAGTAGAATTTAGGATTAATACACATAATTAGTTACTAAGAATAATTGAATTATTACTGGTCCATAAGTTTAACTAGGTTTTTATTTAGAAGTAAAAATCATATTTCTCTAAATTTTGGATTCGATACTCACCACCTGTTATATATATATATATATATATATATATATATATATATCTGTTTAGGAATTTGTAAAGTGTGAATCACCTTGAAGTCTACAAGTCACATCGCTACCTCCAACGTCGTTGATTGTTTTATTTGATTTGATAAATTTAAATGTTTTTTTCATTAAGACTCACCCATAACTTCAATTATCTATGTTCTGAGATGAGTATTGTTTTCTTATTTCATGTTAAACAGTTTTTCCCGCAACCAAATATTTCGCACATTTCAATAGGATTTAAGTTTTTAAACCACTGAGCTACTATGAATATGATTACCACCAATCGATGAAAAAATGTATTAAGTACTTTAATAACAAGGTGCATTTTCAGAAGAACCACTGATAATATTGTTATGAAAGTTAATAGTAGTAATTATTTTTATCAGAACTTCAATCAGTTTCTTTGTAGCTTAATATAGATCTTAACATTGATTATAAGTCAGCATAAAAATATCACTCTTCGCAACTACCTATGTAAGTTATTGACTGATATTTTATCCTAAGTAAATTGAAAGAGGAAGTAATGAACACACGGACGGTTTGGATTATTTATTGTGATTTTATCAAATGTAGTTGATATGGAAATGTACCACCAATATACTAAACACGTTTGTATAATTAAAGAACAAGAAAAATCCACCTAATAATAGAAGTAAAAGAAAACTCACTGGATCTATCGGTCCAGTAAAATCCCGGAAGGTATGATGGACATTTACATCGGCATCTGGAGAAGCTATTTCTAGCGCTACACAAGGTCCCGAAGACAGTTGATCCAACATCTCTGGATATTCTTGGACTACACCTTTATAAACTTCTAAAAATTCAGCTGCATCAGCTTTTGATAAACGAAACAAACAAGCTGCAGTTACATTAAATCCCCTTAGTGTAATTGCACTCCAAATTTTCCCAGTAAGACCTACAACGTGAATAGAATTAAGTAACTATTCAGCAAAATATTAAATGTAAATAATTTTAGAGTTTACGTAGATAAATCATTTAAACGTGATTTTAGTTTACAGAACATTATTTTTCGGCATTTTTGCAGATTGTGATATCAACAGCAATGAACTAAGAACAAAACTAACCGCTCACCGACTGATTTGGATATACGTCAACGTATTACAGTTGATGAATGTTTTCCTTTACCTGTGGATTTGTCATTCAGATAATCGTTAACATCTTTTCAATGGGACAGAAATTTTGTACAACATACTTTTGCCGTCATCAACTAAGAAGTAAATCATTGTATAGTCAGTATTTATAAACTGAAAATATTTAACATTAAATTGAACTGATGGGAGACTGTATCAAGTGTATCTATCGAAAAAATACGACTAATCATCCGATCACCTCAATATATAGGATGCTGTTCGGTAACAAGAATCACAAAACTAACATATGTTATATACTACATGAATAAACTATTTTACAAAAAAAATGCATAGAAACACGAATATTTTCTTTTGCATTAAAATATATAGTAAGAATATTGATGAAGTTATTTGTATCGAGAAATTGGAATAAGTACTTTTAGTAGTGGTATCAGCTCCGAACAGGCCTAACATTTTTGTGGACAGTTGAATCGAAAAATTATAAAATGTTACATTAGTAGTGTATGCCTAGAATCAAATTCCGAAATGAGTATAGCAAAATGTGAATTTATTCTTTTAAGATTTAACATAAGAATGGTTGCTTGGTAAACTTCCGGTGTTCTAGTTTTAATCATAAATATCTAACCATAAAGTGTTCCCTAGCGTAGCTGCTACCTTGAAGTGGTGGTCGGACTTGTCAATCGTGATGACACAACCGAGATATATTAGTTAAGACATATGTTCCTGAAGGTTCTACCATGCCAGGCAGGTTGATCGTAGAACAATGAGACTAAAAGCAGCTACTCAAGGTCTGAGGGTGAAGTAGTACTGCTGGCTATAGAAGTGTGACTGTGGTAAGGTTTCACCCTCGGACAACCAGCACCTACAGCGATGCAGCCTTCTCACAAGGAAGGAAAGGTTAGAAAAGGTCGACCCTAAAAATGTCACACCTCACGGATTTCCGGCGGTAAGCGCTTTAAAAGAGCAGAGCTAATACCCAAAAGACCTTTCATAAAAGGCCATGCGTGGCCGGCCTCAAGTAGTCGTCCATTGCGCTCTGCGGTCACGCTCTCAGGTCGTTAGGACCAACGTTAATCTACCTTTCTTTTCAGGTTCCTCGAGAAACACCCACGGTGTGGGCAGCCGAGAAGTAATATCCGCCCTCATATACGCAACAGCACACGAGACCGAACTGGTCACAATCAAATCCTTTCTACACCTCTTAATAACTCTCTTATCTCCTCGACCAACCCTTCTTTCGATCGTTTATCACCTCACACCACTGAAACAAACGGTATGAGCTCACGAAACATTATACCTAGTCTCTTAAAACCCCGTATCAAATTACATATAGGAGCTTCTGATGTTCGGAAACTATGCCAAATAGGGCAACAGACTCCATTAGCTATAACCCTGGAATTCGTGCAATCCATGTATGTTGCGTCTCCGAAACGCACATACAAGATCCGAGTAAAATCATTAGTTTAATTCCACCGTGTGCAGATATAGAAACAAGAGGGTTTACACTCCGTGTTTCTGGAAGCCCTGATGCTGCTTCCTGTGGCCTCTCTGGTGTAGGTATAGTATTAAATCCTAGGGCAGAACTAGCTACTTTAGACTGGATCCTGATAGACAGACGCTCATGCACTGTCCGACTAAACGGAACGGTACGGACTCCAATGGATAGGGACACTCGCCGTTGCCTCTTCGTCGTAGTTGCGTACGCTCCCACTGGCTGCAGTTCAGATGACATAAAAGATGAGTTTTATAGAAACATCTCTAAACTTCTCCAAAATGTTAAGCGCTCTGATATAGTAATAATGGCTGTGACTTAAACTCTCAAGTAGGTAGACTCAACGTAAAGGAAAGAAACGGGTGGATCTTATGGTGTCGCGGATAATAGAACAGATATTGGCGACCGTCTACTGCAACTATGTTCAGATAACCACCTATTCCCAGCAAACATTAACTTTAAGCATAAGGTAAAATACATTTTGACCTGGCGACCCACAAAGCCGACCCAACTAGATCACATTGCTATAAGCCATCAATGAAGGGGCTGCCTCCTCGAGTTATGTTTTACGATACAGGAATAGCTTGGACGAAAAATAGGGGCAGGCAAACCAAAACATAGCACAAATCCATGAAGTCACTGACCAGTGGACTCAGCCATGTCGTTAGGTGTCGACTACCTGGTTAAGGTCCACGAGATGATAATAATCGATGGTTAGAGACCTTGAGTGAGATGGCTCAAAATCGTTTGCAATGGTGGAGGTGCACTTACTCTTTGTGTTCTATGGAATTCTAACCTTCTGAATTGCTCATCACCTCTATCTTTCTCTTTCTAAATTTACCTCACTGAATTATACTTCTTGAATAACATCTTCGTATCCTAATCTCTCCGATTAATTCTAATACTTTCACTACCTCTACACTATGGGATTTGAATTGACAGTTGTGGTATGACAACTTGAACTGCTTTACTTACGTGCAAAGTTTTACGCTGCTATTGATGATGTGATGATGACCTAAAACGTGTTTGTGCTGGTGTTAAGTAAACTTCAAAGAGACATTACACTTCTACTCCAACGCATACATAAGTAATATAAAAGTCTTTAAAACAAATATTCACAATTTATAGTAAGTAGTTTAAAATAAAAACTAAATAATTGACTTATAATGGTGATTTTTTTAAGTTATTCAAAGATATATTAACGGAAATTTTCAGAATTTTTACCTGAGCTTAAAATGAACATATTGCTATTATAATACGCAACAGATGAGATGTGATTAGTAGTAGGATCCATGAAGCAAATACCGTTCTATTTGGGACTTGTCAACTTAATTTACCTGCATCCTAGAGTTGAGTTTCGCTCCTGGACTCGGACTCAGTACTGTATGCTTCAGTGCTATCACGTTATCTACTTCGATCCCGAGTTTGGATGACCACTCACTTATGCAGCGAGTATGAAATCGAATTTCAGTCAAAAATATTAACAATGGGTTATCAAAAACCACTTCAAATACTGCTATTTTGTTTACTTAATTTACCAAACAAATTTTTATTTCAGAATAAATACAACATGTTCACCAGGATATGCATTACATAAATAACTTTCGGTATTGTTTTATTTCATTGAAGTGATTTGTAATTATTTACCAACAAAAATCCTACATTATTTCCCAAACAGACTGAGTTATACCAATTAGTGCTTAGTGTTTATCCTTGTTCAAATCAGTTTCTTTCTTTAAAAAATAAATCTTTGTTTCTTTTAATCTACTATGAATGATGTTTATCAGATGTAATTATAAATGTAAATTTCTGTGGTATTATTTTCCATCTCACATTTCGTACCAAGAAGAAAAAATAGTCACTAACTCCGGAAATTCAAAGAAACCATCGATTGGAAATCAGTTCATTTTACAGCACTAAAGTGTTTTATCTTAACAGGCTTTTGGGAATTACATGTTGAAGCGTGTCAGACAAACCTGATAAAGTTCTTTCTCTCGAAATCCGAATATGGTGCTTTAAAAATTAAGCATAATACTTAGTGTGAGCATACTAGTTTGTGAATCACAGAAGGTATAATACACATTTGACACTGAATCCAAATAACTACCTCAAGAGATTAAATTAAAGAGATTACATTAATTTAACAATTAGTTTTTGTGGCAAGCATACCCCAACACAGATATACTGTAAACTTATTCTGTCCGTTGAAAATTTTTAAGTCTCCTATGTCTGATCAGGAAAATTTTTTGGTTGAATTTTGGCAGAAAATAGAATAAACATTAAAATATTTAGATTAAAACTAAACGAAAGAGTTTATTACCATCAGATACTGCATGTGGTCGTATAACGCATAATGTTGTATTCTTTAATAATGGTGCTCCACGAAAATTTGGTCCGCAAAGACTTCCGAATATTTTATTGGCCTGTTTTAATGAGTCGCCGGCATTTGATGTGATCATAAATAAATCAGGATTCGATAAAATGTTTTCATCATTTCCTTTTGATCCATAAACAAATTCATATAGGAATGAGCAAACATTTGTACCCATTACTTCTAAAGCGACAAGATTTTTTCCAATAAGTTCATCCAATATAATACTGGATAAGGCAGAATGTTTTAAAAATGGTTTCATCTGAATTAAAGTTCAATAATTAGTGAAAAATAGAGGAATTATCTAGGACCTCAACGTTGACCAACTCATTGTAATCATTAAAGCGCATAGACGTTTGGGCCTTAGACAAATGTGTGCATAATTATGAAATTAAATTAAACCGAGGAATTATGAAATTAATCGGTGCCATAAATTCAAAACTAAAGAATAATAGACTAAAAACTTCATTTCAAACATTGATTAACAGTTTTGAATATCACTTCATTATGAATGTCCGTATATATCTACCTACTAAATAATAAGTTTATTCGAAAACTTAGCAGTTGATTAAAGAAGATATAACTGAGGCAAAGGAAGTTAAGATACTAGCAAAATTACTAATTAAACACGAAATTGGGATCTGTTCTTTATAACATCAACGTTAAAAAATATATAAACAGGAACACATTGAGTATGTTTGTAAACTCTGGATCATTAGAAGCACTGATTAGTTCCAAGCATCCTCACATCTTACCCTTAATTGAAGTTTACTTTACAGACCAAGCCGCTCATATTCTCCGACCCGGCTAAAAATGTTTCTTTTGGATCTAGCTAAACGTATACGTTACATAAAATTTTCAGTATTACATACCAAAACTTTTGGCCGATAACTCTTTTGTACTATCTTGTTATTGTAGTTGTTGCTATTATTCCCATTTTCTGATTTTTATAACTGTTAATTCCTCATATTGGCTTGAAGAATGTGGGGTAGGGGTAAGCTAGAAGAAAGCTAGTGACGGCCAATCCAAAACATGGCACAAATCCATGGAGCCAGTAGCAAATGGACTTAACCATGTTGGTGGGTGTAGACTACCTGGCTGGTGTTAGCGAGACGATTGTAACTGATGGCTAGAGATCCTAAATGACATGGCTCAAAATCGTTTGCAATGACGCATGCGTTCTCGCAAATTCTAATCTTCTGAATTACTCATCATCTCTATCTTTCTGTTTATAAATTTTCTCTCACTTAATTATACTTTTTAAATCATATCTTTGAACCCTAATCTTCTTCATTACCATCAGTACTTCTGCTACATCTAACTATGGTATTTTAATTGACAATCTTTTCTCTTCGCTAATTTGGTATGGAAACCTGGACTGATATACGTACGTACTAAGTTCTACGTTGTACCTGACCAACTGATATTGCCTCGAACTGAAGTATCTTTCACCGATACACAAATGTTTAAGTTCAACTTCATTCCTATTTCTGCGTTTGAGTAAGTTGTGTGTTTTTACTAGCATCGAAGTAACGTATTTCATAAAAAATTAATAATGACGCATGATAAAACTTTTGAGTTGATAACGGACGATTTAATAAATTACTTCATTAACCGGGATAATAACGTAAAAAATTTACTGCTTATTTTAAATGGTGATGCTGGTGTAACTTACCTACCAATTCAACGTTATAGATACAGATTTGCATGATTAATTTTTTGAGGGCTATTAGACCCACTTTATGTTAATGAGTTATAACTAACAAATTAAGATTCGTAATATTTAAACTTCAGCTTTACTAACACGGCACAACATGCCTTTAACTATAAAATTTATAGTAAGGCACCAGCTGGGAATTAGAAATTTCCTCATACGAAGAACTGAGTGCATAAACAAATACAATAAAATAGCTTGTAACTTTCAACACGTTTATAAGTGTTATCTGGAGTAGTTATGAAGCCTAGTCAATCATGAAACACGAGAACGTGTGATTAGTTCAGCAGGTCGATATTTTGGTGTACTCGAGTAATAGTACTTGTAGTATTTTGTGAATCAGTACGATTCAAATGTTTTAACCCTTTTGGAACAAGAACATTGGTTCTTTCTATCCACTGTGATATTTTTATATCAACTATGTTGTTTTCCATTTTTAATTTCACTCTCAAACATCCTCTATAACATCGGCTTATTTTCCAAAATCTCATAAGAACATTCATTCCATAACAGTCTTCCGTAAATTTAAAACAATTTTTCTAATATCTCTAACGCAACATTTGAACGTAAGTTTCGGACAAAAAAAGAAGTAAACTTACGAAAGTTTTGAGGGGTTTGCATAGTTCTCAAGAAGAGACTTTACTTCATCTTCTATTAAACGCATCATTTTCAGATTAATAATTCTTAATGACTTGTCTTCCAATGTTGCTATTATGTCACCAGCCCTTTGAACGGAGCCTGGAGGGATAAAAACAACACATCTTAGTTGCAAAATATCATGAAAGATACATTTTTACCTTTCTGAAGAACTTACAAATGCACGTCTAGTGAACTCATCCCCAAAGTCCACAATTCTTAATGAACGAGAAAATATAGTTACCGTGCTACCTAAATAAAAGTCGGATAGTTTCAGCCCTTCAACCCTAGTGGGCTTGAGAAAAAGCCTATTGGTTTTTTCCTCATGCTTCAAGAAGATGAAACAATCTATTGTAATTACCATCTCCACAGAAGAAACTTCAGTGTAAAATATCAGCCGGAATCGTTTGATCAAAGAGGATATACTATCAAACCATTCCACCAAGAAACAGTATGATAAACCATTCTTACACTGAAGATATTTTAGGGTATATGAATGCCTACCATATTATGAAGTTTTCTGACTTCGATAGGTTTTCGTCTAGCCTGAAGGTATCTTGTATGCTGGGAGAAGTATTTGAGAAAACCTGGGAAAATGTGAGCCAGTAAATTAATATACGCCAAAAATGTACTTTTATTTATTACTGAAAGCGAAATCAATAATCGGAATCACCACAAGCGTGAAATTATGATAACTTGATAACGGTTGGTAAGGTAAACCTTCAATTGCTTTACGATTCGTCCATTTAAATCATTTTGCGTGTTCGACAATTAAACCATTTTAGTTATTCTAACAAGCATAAATAATACAGTATTTCGCTCACAGAAAACTGAAATATGGCTAATCACTTGAGGCTTGCATCAAAAAGTTAATCTTCGAAATAAATAAACATACTGCCCATTCACATCTACTGCGCGCTTCGAAATTGACGTGGCCTCGTTGACTTCCCATCATTTACAGGAAACTAAACAATTTTGGACTCCAGAATGGGATATTTGATCACCAGCGAAGATATTAAAGTTATTCTCCACGTCAGATCCACTTTCCGCTAGCTCTAATTGTGTCGATCAACTGCTCTATTCCTAGCTGCTTCGGCAGCACACATATATTCATTCACTCGAAAACACAGGAATTATGGACAGGTTGCTGGATCCGCGCGAAGTTACTTACTAGAACGATTAAAGGTGAAATTGCAATTGTGGAGTACTTCATGTTCCATTCCTTGTAGTTATACTTGTATACTAATAAATTCTTCTTTCCTAAATACCTATTTCGTGTATTTTTCCTCGCTTAATCACCTCTTTTTTCAACTCTAAATCTCTCTGGTACTATATTAAGTAATAAGGCTGCTAGCACATTCTTCGCTATAACAACCAGAAACACCTGCAGTGGTATGGACCCCGGGGTTAGTAGTGGGTCTAAAATCCCAGTCTGTGAAATAAATCAAGCCGTCACTCAAAAGCACTACTCAGCGTAGTGTTCATAGTTCGTATCACTCAACCAAAACACCTCAACTAGGTCTCAAACAGACTCCCCCGAATCATATTGCTACAAAGACTAACCGGTCAAATAAAAATAGGTGGAAAAGGCGTCCTAAGGCTCAGTCCACACAGTCTGTCGAAAAGAAATAGCACAAAGATGATTGCATCATCTGCTCTATACAAGTTTAAATCAGTGACTCAGCTTTTAAATGCGATTTCGTTAGTAAATGGGTTGATTGTCACTGCGACACTATAGTACCTAAAGAGTACTTTGAGTTCATGTTGAGTCATCCCTGCCAGTTGTCCTGGTGTATCTACCCATGGTGCGGAGTATCTGAAGCATTGACGAAATCAGAGGCGCCACCCAAAAACAGCTCTTAAGTCCCAACGGACAAAGCGAAATTGCCTAGCACAAATGACTACCACTCAAGGACAGGAACGATAGAATAAGTTCACATATTTTATTTAATGTCCCAGTGTCGAAAGGTAGCTTACTAGAAGGAAACGGGCCGCCTTTGACAAAGAACAAATGGGTAAATATTGCGCAATCCTCCAAATGTGCAATACCCCAGAGAAAATATGCCGCCCTGTCAAATGCCAGAACGTCTTGACAGGGAAACCCCTTCAACTAGTGTGACACTAGACTAGGCACAACTCGCTGAAGATATCCTCTCATCTCATTGACCATCGGTTAAATTGTCCTCTCCAATCTGTATCAGGTACGACAAAGCGTGTTCCATATGAATAACAGCTGGGACAACACCAGGCACCCAACAGCAGGCCAGCTTGACATTCCATCACGTGCCCAAACTGGCTAGCGGTAGCTTTGATGAAGCTCAGGTTCATGAAGTGCAGCATTGGCGGTGGCTACCACGTAACCTCGTCCTCCAAACCACGATGGCTATTCGCATTTCTAGGCTGCCCCGGCCATTACATCTCTCGTCCATTTAGTCACCACGTCTGATGGCTGTGGCATTCAGGGATCGGCGAGACTTGACTGAGGTATTTCAAGTTTGGTACAGTTCGAAGAACAAACTGTCTAGTCACATTAGGCGTTGCGAAATCCGATCTAGATCTGCGAGACAACTGCAGGGAGGCCACAATAAACGCACAAAGTTGATAGTTCACCTCGATCAACAACCGCTGGCACCAGACACGAGGATAATAGCCTCGCCGATTGAACTCATTGAACAAGTAAAACACATGCAGAGGCTAGTTCCTACAGAACTGGACAACTCGGTTTGAGCAATTTGTTTAAAAATATAACGACTGCAGAGGTGCACCAGGTGCTAAGACAAACAAGTGTATTTATAGCAACGTAAGAGGACTAAGGGATGAGCTGTTACAAATCAGGAATATGTGCTCTCAAATGGATCTGAAGATCACAATCCTAACTGCGGCAATCCCCCGACATCGCAGACGAAGAAGTGAGCTCCCAAGGCATAAAACTCTTCCAAAGTGATCGGGTGCACCAAACAGAAGGCGGAGCGGCTACATATATTAACAGCCACTTTAAAACCGAGAGGTTGTACGACACCTAGCTAACAGAGGTGACAGGATCGTTTTGGTGTTGTTTCCACACAAATGGCACGGAGTACTTGATTATAAAAATTTAACAACCTCCATCAAATACTAAGGCCCATAAACATATAGTTACTGAGGCAATACTGCAACTGTCACAAACCAAACGCTCACACAGGACGGAAACGAGGGCTATCTTTGCTAAACTGAGGCAAACTATACGCGTATGAGAGAGGTCCTCCTACATACCTCATGGCCACGTGAGTGGTGGAGGCTGACGGTAGATGATCACTGGCGAACAGTGAGAGACATCATCCAGAATGCTGTCCTAGACAATGTGCCTCAGTCATACCACACAACCGGAAATGGAAGAATATGGGTTTCGTAAATGCAAGTCATGCGAATCAAATCTTCTCAAAACATCGGAGAGTTGGAAACCCTGCTTCAACCGAAAAATACAGGTGCACGTAATATTTCTCGACTTTGAAAAAGCCTTTGACACAGTACCACACGCCCGCTTAATCGAAAAGGTTGTAGAAATAGGCTTCACCGACCCACTCCTATCTTGGCTCAAAAACTACCTTCAGAATAGAAAGTTTCGCATCAAGGTAAATAGAGTGCACGCGAGGTGGCAGGTATCCACATTGGGTGTTTTACAGGGGATCATCTTAGGTCAACTTCCCTTCCTGATGTCGATTAACAACCTGTTAGGCACAGTTAGCCCACCGGTATTGATCTACCCAGACGTTGCGAAGATCAATAGGTCCATTAGAAGCGAAGAGGATTCGACTGAGCTTCAAAGGACCGTACATCTATTGAGGAATGGGCAGTGAAAAACGGTTTAAAACTCAACCAACCGAAGTTCCATGTCATGCATCTCCTGCTTCATATGACGCAAACGACCTAAATCCTCAATGGAAGTCTGCTCCCTAATGTCTCCTCAGAGCGCGATCTCGGTTCAATAACCACTGAAAGCCTTCACACAAGCCCGAACTATATAGGGGACGCAGCCAAGCCAAATGGGACTCTTCACCTTATGCGAAGACAACTTGGTGCTATCACCCCACAATTATTCCTAACATTATTTAAGACATACGCGCTCCCACATCTGGTGGTTCATAATGTCGTCGTACCCCCTCTGCTTAAAAAAGACATGATTCTCTTGGATTGAGTGCAACCAAATGGATGGTAGGGTTGAAGAACAAACCTTACGAAAATGGACTCCAGCATTTCGGGCTATTCCTCCTTAGCTACAGGAGAATCAGAGGTGATCTAATTACGGTGCACGTCAAGCCATCCCAAAGAAAGCATGCGTCATCACCACTCCCCTTGAGGCAATCCTCAAAAATTTGCGCAATAAAGAGCGAATACTCATGTTGGTGCGTACGTTTTCTCATTAAGAGTCATCACAACTTGGTGCACAGCTTTAAGAAGAGACTTGATAATCACGTACTCACATGGGGATTACCATCTACCTCTTGGACTAGCTGTACCTGATGCATTCCTCGAGATTTGCTGGTCGTTATTATTGCCATCACCCCATATCCCTAATTTAATCTATCACGCCTATCATTTCTGTGTCCTCTACTTTGCTTACAATTCAGTTCTCTTTCACAATCATCACTACTAATCAATACGCTTAATTATCCATTTATTACTTCGTTCTGAAATCTTATTCATATTAGCATTAGAATTTTATCGTTATTATTCTCCACATTGCAACTAAATGATCTCCGGTCTGGTCATGTGATAGCCACTGATATCCAGAAACCCTGCAGCCCTGAAACAAACGTTTTCATTCAAATCACGAGACATACAAACTCACAACCAACTGCAAACTGACTGGAAGTAGACAGTCGAGTCGCTAGACCCCCATTAATGAGCACTATCAAACGAAAGAATAAGAATCAATTGCTTTATACTAGTTCGTGAAAAAAATGTTGGATACTGGAATATAACCTCAAGTTTTACGGAATACACTATAGCTAAAGGCATCTCTCGCAAAAATAGCCTGAGAAGTTCATATACTTCTTTACAATTCATTTATCTATGACTACTCTTCCCGATAATCAAACTCAGGACTTTCTAGTTCACGAGAACTCTCGTCTTCTAGCAAATAAGTCTGAATCAATCGGTGCTAGTGTCTAACTTCCATAAGTTCACGGTGTTATGAGAGCTAATCGATTGTCATTAGTAGGCACTACTTTAAACCTGACAAGAATGAAATTTACCAGAAATTCACTCAAGAATCTTGATACAGTTGATCACATGATAATTTTCATGACATTTCTGTGGATAGTATTGAGTTCCATTGCAATCATAAATCGATCAATGTTAGACCATTATTAGAAAACTTGATTTAATGGAAAACAGTCCCCAAACCTATAACGGAACAAACGATATCCAACCTACTACAGATGTCATGGAACCACTTCATTCTGGACGTCTCGTTTGATTTACTTATGGATCCGTGAATTAAAAGGTGTTACAGAAAAAAGCCTTAAATATTTGTCAAACAAACATTTACAGCCAACTTATGTTTTATTATAATTAAAGGCTCAGATATTGGAAAGTATATTTCTCTGTTCTTATAAAATAAATCTTGTTATTCATTCACTATGACAGACCTTTGGAAGTGCTGTTTTAAGGATTCCTCTTCAGTTTGATAAGATTCTAGGCAGGTGTGAAGCTTGTAACCCTTTAAATTAGAATATCGACTGAATTACTCAAATCACTGGTGCTGGCAAGAATAATGTTTTCGTATTTAGAACACATTTTGATCGTTCTACATTTGCCTGACGTCCTCGGAGATGTTTAAATGATTTGATTATGTTATTTAGATATTTGATAACTGTATTTGAAGCACTGTCTGCCACTGATTTACGATGCCAATGAAGGGCGAACGACATAAAACCAGTGTGATTTTATTAACAAGATGAACTATTAAGAGACTAGAGTAGTTTAGTAACAACTGCAGTGCACAATGCGAGGAATGAGAAAATTAAGAAAGAAATAATTAGTATTCATAGATGCCAGTCGATATTGGACAATCGAAAATGTGGCGGGTATACAAAGTTACCATCAGTTTATGTCCCGTCAGACATTAAGATTAGCTTGCTTGAGGTAAATACTCACTAGAATGTTATTATTTACTATTAATTTTCACATTTGTCAGTGGTTACTGTTGGTCTGAAGATCTTCAGACTAAAATCATGTTTGCATCTCGATCTCCTATTGGCGTCATCCACTGAAAAGGTTAACCTTGGAAGAATGCTAGAAATTTTATTCTAAGTTCCAAAAAATTTCAACAAAACATTTCTAAATTATAAGGGTTCAGGATTTTTATCCAGGATTGATCTGAATTGTTTCAGGCTTACACCTGAGATTTTTAGGAATGGTGGGCCATGGAACTAGGCATTATCCCTTCACACTGGTCTCAATTACTGATTTTCCCAATATATTACAAAGGACGGACGACATCCTATGACAATCACAAAGAAATCAATTTCACTAACGTGGAGTCTAAATTGTTCCAATATCCAATATCTTTTTCACGAGCTAGTGTAAACCAATTTGATTTCTTCGCGCTCGATTCTTGTTCCTTCGGCACGGTTCCAGGTGTTCGATAATGTCCAATGAATGTAGTTTAGATGCCCAACTAGGGCCATTCAGATAGCTAATATACTATTACTGTTGGATCCGATCACAGACTATGAATGTTGGAACCTAAATGAAAAAACTGCATATTCACTCATTCTAAGCAGTGGTAGAACTCCTAAACTTACGAATAATAAATTATAAAGCGATTACTGATTCAGACCAAACCATGTTCGACCTTGGTTTTTAAGCGATCTATCTCGAAAGTATCATTAGATACCACTGCAGTTAGCTCTTCCTTATTGATTCCAGGTGCATTTTAATTTCCTAACTTTAGACATTGGTTACTTTTATTTCAAAGAGTGATGTTTCTTGTAACGAAACTATGATTCGAGCTAGGTGCGATAAATTAAACCATGTATGCGCATGGAATTCTCGGAAGCACATTTTTATCCACTTGCTTCTCAAATCCCATTATCATGAGCTATGAAAACAAAATCTAATTTTAGTCATAAATATGACAGTCGAAATAGTTTTATTTCATGAATCATAACTTCAGGTATTTTATGTGTAAGTCATATAATTCGTACTTCTATGTCGAGCTCATATGCTTCATTCTAGGCGTTGGATAAGCCAGCTTATCTGTTATTCTCGAATTATTATTAATTTGTACTTTTCTTCCTGTTATTCGCCCATAACCTTGTAAGTTCTGTAGCAGTGTCTGTCGTTAAAAGGTGTGCCGAAGAAGTGAAACAGCCTTGTACAGACTCCACTCAATCACTGCTGGTCGAATGACAGCTTTTGGCGAACTTTCATCCTAATTGATAACTTCCATCGGTGTTGGATATCGTTGTCCAGTTCTTTTGTTTTTACTTAACCTTGTCACAGACGTGCTATTAAAATTATCACTTAAGTCGTCTGACCTCAGGAGTGCACCTTCCACTAGAAGATTCACTTACTGATCTAGAATATGCCGATTAGGGTTCAAAGATATTCAGGAAGCAGAATCTAGTGAAATAAACTCTAAAAGAAAAAATAAAGGTGATGAGGAATTCAAAAGTTTTAGATTTGGGATAACACGAGCAATAAATGTACCTGCGCCATTGCAAACGGTTTATAGCCATATCATTCAAGGTCGCTAGCCATCGTTTACAACCATTTTGCGGGCCGCAGCCAAGTAGTCGACACCAACCAACATGCCTCAATCCACTTGTCAGTGACTTCATGGATTGGTGCCATGTTTTGGCTTGGCCGCTCCTAGTATTCTTCTAATCCACCACAAAACATCATTCGTCAAGGCAGTCGGTGGTTAGGCATTCGTAACACATGTCCCAACAATCTCAAATACTTTATCTATTGATTTGCCAGCCAAAATTAGTAATCAATTCGTAACTATAGCTTTTCTTACTCGGTTGTCCCACGACACACGAGCAATGCTTCAAAGGAATCTATAATCGAATACTAATAACCTACTAATATCTTCTACTCTTACTGGGCATGTTTCGCATCCATATATTAGGACGGAGCAAACTACTGCGCAGTACACTCGTCCTTTGGCTAGCAAACAGATATCTTGCCTATGCCATAAGTGACGCAAGTTGCTAAAAGCCAATCGAGCCGTGTGTATCCGTGCTGCGATTTCTCCAGTCACCAGGCCATCAGCACTGATGAGACTCGCGAGATGAGTAAAGCGGTAAACACTCTCAACCGTTTCACACTATATTATCCTGAAGCAACGTTTCGCATTTCTAAAGGAAGAATCGCATCCCGAACGTGCGCGCATTGTTGCTTAGGATAGTCAGGTGACTGTATTTTGTCAGAGTCCTCACAAAGTCGAACTATGTCATCGGTATATTCCAAGTCAGAAAGCGAGTCTCCTGAGATGTCTGATGAAGATAATTTTATTTCTAAAAGCAAGTCAACGACAAAATTAAACAAGAACGGGGAAAGTGAATATCCCTGTCGGCCACCACTTGAGGTTTAGAATCCCGATGACCTATAGTGTGCGAGTAGATTACTTCTCTGGTACACCCTTTAATGACAGAGCTGCCGTGGAGCCTCACGACCAACAGATTCGAATTCCGCTTTAAGGTCCAGGAATACAAATATCGTCAGACACTTGAACGTGTCTTTGTTCCAGCTAAGCTATCATTAAGTAGAACCCTTAGAGGTTTCCTTCCGATGTCTTTCCTACGTCCAGTAAGCTGCAAGCAAGTACGCGCTCGCACTGGAGCGTGGTCTGAATCTAAACAATTGCCCCACCGATGACTGATATCGATGTGATCTAGTTAGGTCCATCGTTGGGTCGGCTTTGAGGGTCTCCAGGCCATTAAGGAGAAAGGATACTCACAGGCTCTTAGTATTTGATCCATGCAGTCATGTTATCGGGCGTAGACTACGTGGTTTGTGTCCATGTGATAATCAGAACCAGGGGTTAGAGACTGAATGACATGGTTCAAGATCGTTTGCAATGGCGCAGATGAATCCATACTTTGACCTCTCTCAAATACTAATCTATTGAATTCATCATGAGCGATTTTTCTGTTTAAAATTATTTCACTGGAATATACTTCTCAAATCATTTTTCCGATCTCTAAGTTTTTCGATTACCGCTTATTTTGCTACAACCTCTACTACTATGGATTTAGACTGACAATTCCATCTCTCTGTGCTCAATTATTGTTACATTGCAAAGTTGTTAACTTAAAATATCAAAATAGTTTCGTTATCTGCCGAACTGTGCCTGGAAATAACCTATTTAAGTATCCTTTGTGAATTTATGTAAATATTTTCCGACAGATCTGCTTTTTTCCCACTTGACTGCTTGCTGTAATTGATCAGTTATAGTCATATTATTAGCCTTTCTTTAGAATAATTGCCTCTTTTGGTGGTGGTAGATTTAATAGTTCTTCATAAACACTTGAAGACTTTCTATGTGGTCAAGAAACATGCAAGTGATTCACTGTGTCTGTGCTTCCTGTTTTAAATTTTTAGTGCTCTGTGTTGATATGTATTTCTTTATTCTCTAGATTTTCCCTCCCACAATGTTTGACTAATAGGATGTCCTCACTAGCTGTTTTTTCCTAGATAGCTGCAGCTGACCATTTCTTTCATCCAAACCGCTCCGTCAATATGTCCAATTTCTTGCACAAAGTTTTTAGTAATTATAGCTCTTCTGATGGACGTTACCTGGACAAAGAAGGTTTTAAATTGTTATTTATTGAACTTTATGGGAGGAAACCGAGTAAGGAAGAGATAAAATGTATTTCTTCATTTTTGGAATCAAATCTCAATGGCGAACCAATTGGTCTAACGTTTTCGGGGTTAGTAAGCTCCATTCGTTTTCTGATTCAATGTAGTTTTCTTTATTCCATCCAAATGCTTCAGAAACGTTCTCAAAATAATCTTCATTGTGGTGACAAGCATGATAGGCTATTATTTGATTGTTTGGATCTAAATTCGAAAGAGTTTATCACAATAAACGATTTACACCAAATATGTGGTAGATACAAACCCTCCTTACCATCTGGCCTATTGCAAACTATTTTCAGAGAGTTTGATCAAGATTGTGATGGTCGGATTTCATATGAAGATTATCTACATATTACGAAGTCGTAAGTTTAAAATTCGTTCATAAATTTATGGCATGGTGCTACGCTTTTAGTGTCGTGCAGTGTCGTCATTCAATGTCTTACAGTCAGTTTGTTACTGTCACTAAATAGGATTTATACTGAATACCATAGAAATGCGTTATAGTAAAGTTAATGAATGCACATGTGTAGCATCTCATTGTTCATTCGTTATGCTTCAATGATTAGTCATTTAAATTATTCGATAATACTATCGACTATTTTTTCTATTTGTAATAATTTGATGGCAATATCGACTATATATATTTGTATTAAATTCTATATCTGTATCAGTTTAAATATTTCGAATAATAAAGAAATTGTGGCAAGAAATTAGTCAATACTGTTATCGAATAATTTAAACGACTAATCATTGAAGTTTAATGAATGATTAATGAGATGCTACATATGAAAGATGGACCACCTTTCTTGTCAAAGATGCTTAGCGATATTCCTCAAAGTCGATTGTAGTAATACATTTATTTTTTACACACCTATAAATTTCAAGCTCTACTTCATTCCATACTATTTACTGTGTGATCTTATTTGTTCCTCGACAGATTCATTCTTAAAATTGTCTTTCCATTTTTAATGAATATTGTTATTATTGTATATGTCTCTTGCTTTGCTAATTTTCTTTGTTCATGAACCGATTTTGGGTGTATCGACCTTAGCAGATGCTCGTTCGTACCAAATTTTAAGCTGTCTTCGACAAACTACATGAATTTTCTAAATTCAAATTATTATCAAAACCCAGATAAAGTTATTGTTTATTTACCTAAAAAGCGTATGTTTCCACATCCCATCCAACCACCATAGATCATAGCTTGTATTTTATCAGACCCACTCGGAAGCAAATTTTACTCTCTGACACCACCGGGATTGAGTTTTCAAAGATTCTAGGGTGTACATATATTATAGTATTATACTATTAACTTGGATCATAATCGTTTGATGCTTCTGACTAATTCGTATGATAATTAGGAAAATTGTTTTGCTGTGCAAAAACAATTTGAGTACTTGAAGTTCAATACCTTCACAATTCATCTAACTAATCATTGTACCTTCTTTTTATTGATTTCGTGCTTACCATTATTTCGTTTGAAGGGAAAAGAATTTACAATTGCACACTCATTTTTCTATTTTAGTGATATGTAATCGACGTATACGAAATGATTATATCGAGATATTTCAGTGATATTAAATAGATTATCATATAACTGAATTCATATGTGGTTTATCCTGGTCACATTTTCAGTTTACAGTCATTCGTTTTTAAGTATTTGCTTATTTTCATAAATTATTATCTCAATAAAACTAGTGACAAAAAATTAACAGTTGTTCTTTTTTGTTGTTTACGCTTCTTCAGTGTTTTTACAATATAACTGTTGGTTTACTTAGTAGTACTTCGTTTTTTTTTTAAAAAATTAGCGCCTGTTCGATATTAAGAATAAACAGTAATGATTTAAGCTTTTAAATTTTTTCAACCTTTATAAATCACACTGTGCTCTCGAACTAAAACATTTTTTATAGGATTCCCTCACTATGTCTTGTGGATGCCATCTGTATACTAGAAGCATGGAACGAGATGAGTTTAGAAGTTGTTGGCGAATTTTATCAATTATTTTTAAATAATCTGTCCAGACGAGTACTCCACATTAAATTACCATCCTGAAATTAAGGGTCGAAGATATTCGTAGGCTATTAGTATCCGATTATAGATGTCTTCGAGGCATAGCTCATGTATCGTGGGACAACCGAGTAAGCAATTCTGTCGTTAGGAGACGAGTACTAAGTCAGGATGGCAAGTCAATAGGTGAAGAAGTGAGTCTTTTTCATTTGAGGTGGTTGGGGCATGTGTTACGAATGCCCAACCACCGACTGCCTCGTCGAGCTATGTTGTCAGATTTAGGGGTAGGTTGAAAGAAAGCTAGTGGCGGCCAAACCGAAACATGGCACAAATCCATGAAGTCACTGACAAGTGGACTGATTCATGTTGATAGGAGTCGACTACCTGGCTGGGGCCCGCAAAATGACTGTAAACGATGGTTAGCGACCTTGAATGATATGGCTATAAACCGTTTGCAATGGCGCAGGTGCATTCACTTTCCGTGTTCTCTTAAATTCTCATCCTTAGAATTCCTCATCACTTCTCTTTAAATTTATCTCACCAAATTAAACTTGAATAATCTCTTCGAACCGTAATTTCTCCTGTTACCGCTTATACTTCTGCTATTTTTACCACTATGGGATTTGAACTGACAGTTGCGTTTCTGTGCTAATGTGGTATGGCAACCGGAACTGATGCGCAAACGTACGAAGTTCTACGTTATAACTGACTGATATGTATATATATGTATGAAGAGATTTTCCATTTTAATCTAAATAAAATTATATTTTCCACATTTTACATTTCTGTAGAAATTTAATCACAGCTGTTAAACTCCGAAAACAGTTAAGTAGTTAATTATTATAATTACGATTTCCATCACTGTTTCTCAATAAAAAAGAAACAAACTAACTATGAGTACACATTTTCCGTGAATTTGTGCGTCAAACAAAAATGTGTTTGGAAAACAGAAATACTACTAATGATTAAGGTGCGTCTGCTAATCAAGTTATTTGAGTAGATTTTATCAGGAAATATTTTTGCTTATTGTAAGGCTTTCTTTTTCTGGCGCGATTCTTTTTGCTTGATGTATTCAATTTCTTGTTCGGTGAGAAAACCACTGTGACGTTTCTTAATATTACATCTGTAGAAAAGAAATGACGAAATAGGAGTGAAAACATATTATGAGGGTATGTGCAATATTATTTGAAAGAAGTAAAGAATGGAATTCGGTTACATATTCCTTATGCTGTCGTCAGTCCAACATTTATACTTACAAATTAAATTAGTCTCCACAAAACCCCCACATCTAAGCTATAGTTGTATGTTCGATAGTGTCTTACTTTGAGATGAGTTCGTAAACTTCTGACGGAAAGTCATGACCTCTCTGGTTCGGTTGTATCGAGAATAAAAGAGTCTTCACTAATGACATTAGAAGATGGTTCAGGATATCACTAATTAATTAAAGTTTGCAATGTATGTAATTGGATACCAATCTACTGGTCCAGTAACTGAGTCCTCATCCTGGGATGGTCATAGGTATGTATTACTGAAGAGTACTCTACAAGAACGAAACATTTGTCCAGTAATTCCTGATTTTCAATCTTATCTTAAACGAGTTCAATCCATGACGAGTTTCCACAGACTAATTAATAAATTGATTTAAAAGTCTTCTTATAATGATAATATATAGATAATCTTATTGGGAAAATATTGTTTAATTGGCTTTAAATCGTACTACAATGATAATAATCACAACTGAAATATGACGAATATTTCTGTGTTGCATGGTTACAGGGGGATTCGTTTAAAATTTCATAATAAACTGACGTCACATGCATAACTGTTACAAACTAAGAAGCGCTAAACATCTGTCTTATTCAAAGTTTAAGAACTCTTTGGTAGTACAGACTGATGGTACAATAGGGTATCGAACCTGGACCTAAAAGCTTCTGGAGCAAGCACAATACTTTTTGACCACTAATTTTGGGTCGATTGTTCAACTTCGGTTACTTTTTATTTTAATGCTAACGGTGAGTAACAATCTCGTTAACGGCATGGATTTCATAGTATCTTATTATAGCATTGGTAAATCTATCGGGCAGACAGCCACATATATCGAACACAGTCTGATATCCAACGATTACCCAGCCGGTTTCAGTTCTTAACCTGATTTGTTCTACTCGCATTATAGTAACACTTTTTCAAGGACTATGCGAATCTGAACTCGCTATCTTATTTTACTGCGTGAATGAAATTATCTTTAAATCTAACTAAACTCTGCGAAGTTATTGTCTTGATAATATAACACTAACAAAAACTTGAGTTAAAAGTCATGAATGATTAAATGTTATCCAATTGTTAATAACTAAATTCTGTAAGGATAGCATAACTCTAACGGGTAAAAGGTAATTGTTACTTATTAATCTCAGTTTATAATAACTGAGAAATTGCCGGTTATACCAAACATTGCTGTCATTTATCTATCTACTCATTTTAATAGGACAGTTTTAGATTGGGTGCTTGATATATTACCTGGTTTTGTGAAAGGAAACCATTAAAGTTTCGATTATTAGCAACAGAGTAACAAAAACCTTTCAACAAATAATATTTACGTATATCATGCCAAATGAACGTGAACAGTGGACAACATATATATGTTTCAAATCATGTGTACTGGCTTTGTTTTTAAGTCGAGACAACACTACCATCGGTTTATGTACAATTATCGAGCCTCTAAATGGATTTTACTTCTAGCCGGTGCCTAAGGTATTTACAATAATCATCTCAAAATGTATTTATCCACTGAATAATTTCTTTAAAATACTAGTAACTAAATCACAAATCCATTTCGTAAATCACAGTTTTATTAAGATAGTTCGTTTGAAATAAATAGCTTAACTTATCTATGCTCCGCTTATTAAAAATGTCATTATCATCCGATTTTATTTTGTAATTTCATTCGATTGACTGACTTTTTCACCAGTTCACTAAAGGAGTCAAAATTCAAAAGATCGAATAGTTTTTTTGCAAAAGTGGATAGTAGCTAGCAGTGGAATCCAGGATACGCGTCTCGACCTGTTTGGTTTGAGCGGTTGCCTCGTATTCCGTGCACTTACACTGATAGCTGCCTTGATTCATATCATAAAACTTAATTTTGTCCAACACTGTTACTTTACGATAAAAAGATCATCTGAGGATAACTCATTTAATATCTCTTTGTTGCAATAAGTTTTTTAATAATCTCATTTTTATGAATACTAAGATTACCTGTGTGAAGCTGTATATTTTTATCTTAGAAATGTTTTATTACAACTTTGTTCTTCTGAGCCATTAGAAATATCACATTGTTCAAAATCAAGGTTATCATGTTTATCCCTAAAGCAGATTTTTTAATTTAGCGCATACAACGTTCATTGAGAACTTTTAGGAGAATTTTCAAATTTAACATAAACTACCTTCAGCCCTATTAACACTACTACTACTAAAGTCAAAAGTCCATGAAAATGGTACTAAGACAGACACTTACTGGGTTAAAGAAATCTAGTTTTTAAATAGATCATATTACTTAATTGAAATAGGAAATACATTTGTGTTGGAATTACAAGTGTATAACAATGTAGTATAAAGTATCTTATGTAATGAGATCAATAATATGTATCCATTTATCAAACGTAATTGTAAAACATAGAAACGTAATTAATCCATGATACTGGAATCAATTCATTTTAAGAAATTATTTTATAATCACTTACCCCCATAATTCTGCACCACATCTATCACGTACACATGTGGCAAAACTTAATGTTGATGGCTGTGAATGATCACCTTGACCACGTAAACAACAACTATTCATAACTTTCATGATTTGTTTTTTATTTTTTTGAAAATTTCTCCACAACCCACGTATTGCTTTTGAACATTCTTCATACTGACTGCCACATTCTTGAACACATATATCAAAGTCAGCTTTACTCAATTTTTCACCATGTGAATCACCATGACAAGAATTTAAATAAAGACAGCATAATATGTATAAGAGCAAATTTTGGAATAATCTGTGCATTTTGTCACAAATTAATGATGAATAACAATGGTAGTCGCATGTTATTAAACACACTTTTATAAGTTTTTCTTATCTCAAGGAACTAATTATGGATACGTAGTATTTTGATATCTAGTATGCTACACAAAATTCAACAAACGTTGTACACAACAATAAAGGGATGTTTATGGTGAATCAAAGGTTTATATCAATTTTTATACTTCAGGTGGTTAAATAAATAATCGAATGTTTTATTATGCTACTGACCGGATATAAGATGTAAATCCATAACATACTGTGAAATAAACATTCATATAAATATACATATTATATCTGATTAGTTTTTCAATAAACTAGTTTGAGGAATAAAAGTTTATTATTACTAAGATACACAGTAGCTAATGTTCACTAAGATCATTAGTGTAAAAATTTGTAAAAGATTCTATATTTTTCAGAGCTTCTTTGTCAAGTGTGATTTGTTTGGCTTATGCTGTGTTGTATCGGAAGGTCTTGTTTTGACATTATTGCTTATGATTAAAACAGATATTAAATATTGGTGGAGATTGTAGCATTTTTACTCTTAGAATCTCGAGTTGATCTTAACCAGACTACCGTTGAGAACCTGAAAGCACTGAAAAACCGTTTCGTTCTAGTACGGGACTCCTCAGTTGCGTGCATACACGACCTTGCACGCAGTGATTCAACCCAAAGCCTCTGACTTTTCGCGCGATCGCTTAACGTTTATGCCACTGAGCCGGCATCCAACAGTGTTAATGTCTAGCTGTAGTGTATAACTGTCTCTCACTCGACATGGATTGAACTCAGATCATGATTTCTCATTAGTACTAGCTAATATCAATTCATGATTAAAACTGTAAAAATCTTCAGTGCATAATACTACAGTGATTTTTTAGTCGCTCAATCTTGTTATATTCTTTTCAGTATGTTTGATAAGATAATTCAGTATTATCTTGGACGATACATGTTATATAAACATATCCCAATAAAGTTAAATGAATATTTTAGCTCCGTAAGTGTATAAATTTTATTGTAGATTCTAAATATACATAGTGCTTATATTTGATGAACTGGTAACACTACAATATAACATTGACAAAAAGATTTTTGATGTCGCCTAAAATCTGAAAGAAACCCGCTGATTATTCTTGTTTATAAGTATGAGTAGATTTGCTACTATTATTAGCTCCAACTAATTTGATAAAATGGTATGATTATTAAAGTATTTGTTTTATAATTTTAAATATGCTGGCTGACACAATCGAATTTTCACAGTGACTAGTCACTAAGTTGTAAGAATATAGTGCTTTTCTAGTCCTTAGCAGTTACTGAATTTTATTGATCAACTGCAATGTGGTCATTAGTCCAAATGACTCAACAATGTGTGCATTATGTTTGGGTTTCAAGCTCTTAACTTAGGTTTTATGCTAGTTGGCACCTGTTGCGTGCTCGTCGCTTTGAAACTGTTGATACTAGTGGATGATGCAGATCTGATCCCGCTAGGACCATTAGGTCCCTCAGGATTGCAGGTACACTTTGGTGAAAAGTACCTATGAACTCAAGACTTTAGTGCACAGATTAAGATTGATTGCGTTCAGTCGCTCAACAGCTCTACTTTTTGGCAATTTAAACTCGGCCTGGAGCCCCTCTTGGGCTACTGCCTGTCCCAATCCTCGATAAAGGAGGAGGGTTGGCGACCCCATCCCGTAGAAAACTCAATCTCCTAAAAAATCACTAACCAAAAAAATAATTCAAACCATATGAATTCTGCCCTGCTAGTCATGAGGTCTTTATTCAGAAGAATTAAAACGTCTCATGATGAAAGCCGAATTCCTTCGGAAGTTGTAGTGCCTCCACATGTATTCGGGTTCGTTTACATTTAATGTGGCTAAGCCCTTTCGATTAATTTATTTAACCAAGCCATTTGTATAGCAACAATTTATGTGTACCATTCGTTCTTATTATTGTCTGGTTTGTAAAAGCTCACATGACTTGTCCCATTTGTCTTTTGACCTTGTCAACCATTCGTCGCTTTTATTCATGTGTGTGCATGAGTATCTCGTTGGTCACATGTCTGTCTTATTTTTGTCTGACTATAAATTCCTAGTCATGCTTTATCTCTGAGACTTGGCTCACTAGCCTTCTCCACATCGCTCCATTCGTTCATTCGCCTATTCACTCACTTGCTTGCTTTCCGGCGCTCGCATGACGATTTCATCTTTTAGCGCTTGTAATGGTGTGTCAAAAATAAACGTATTCTACACTTCGAGTTCACCTTCTGATTTATAAACAGTCAGACGCAATTTAGTAACGATTGTCTGGACGAGATAATTACCAAGCTTAAGAACACTCAGTAATTGGCCACCACAAAGTCACGAGGCCGATGCCCCTTCTCACAACCAGAGCAACCATTCTTTTAGGCACATGGAACGTTCGAACATTGTGCGGGTTTGTAAGACAATTTCAAGTTACTCCAGAAATGAAAAGATACAACCTGGAGATGCTTGTAATCAGTGAAACGTATTGGACGTAGGTAGGACCTGCTGTTATACTCTGATCATGAAGAGGAAAATGCTTCACATACACAAGGAATTGTACTGATGCTATTAAAGTAAGCGAAAAGGGCACTAATAAGATGGGAATCTCATGGACCCAGGATCATCAAAGCATCCTTCAAAACAAAGAAAGAGGACATTACAATGAACGTCATCCAATACTATGCACCTAAGAATGACGACGTTAAAGACCAATTCTACGAAAGGCTGTAGTCAATCGTCGATATTTGCTCACCAAAGGATTTGAACATCCTGATGGGAGACCTAAATGCCAAGGTTGATATGTACAACACCGGATGAGAAGACATCATAGGACCACATGAACATGGGTAAAACGGACGACCATTGTGAGAGGCTAGTGAACACATATGCCCTCAACAAACCGGTCATAGGTAGCACCATATTCCCATACAAACGCATAAACAAAGCTACATGGGTTTCCCCAAATCGACCACATATACATCAATGAAAACTTCAGAAGAAGCACTGGACAACTAGTCGAGCAGCATCACAAAAGTTTAATAGAGCTTTTCTTCGGCATACTGGAAAGCTCAACGAATTCAAGATAGCCCTCAGCAATAGGTTCCAGGTTTTTCACGATCCACTCAATGGAAATGAAACTACTACGGAGAACAATAGGAAAGGGATCAAGGAGGCAATCACTTCAACATGTCAGGAGGTTCTGAGTCACAACAGGCATCATCACAAAAAATGGATGTCTATAGATACTATAGATAAGATTCAAGAAAGGAGGAGCAAGAAAGCAACAATCAACATCAGCTGAACAAGAGCAGAGAAAGCCAAGGCAAGAGTCGAATATGCAGAAGCTAGCAAACAAGTGAAGAGGAGCCTCAGAGCCGACGAACTTGAATATATGGAAAATCTAACAATGACGGCTGAAAAGGCTGTAAGAGAAGTATTATTGACTATCATTATGGACTAGACTTACAGAAAGTTATCATCAGGGGGTTATGGAGATTGTTGAGTTTCGTTGAAATTATGAAATCAGTGTTAGACCACCTTTGCTTTCAGGTTTCCGATGGTAGTTTAACAATAATCGGTTCATGATTACCGAAAGTTAGTTAAAATCAGGTAGACTTCTTCTGCAGATGAGATACTATTTAATTCGGATTTACAGAATTAGCAAAATTATTTCTACTAAAAAAGAATCTTATTAGAAAATGGACGGTAAAATAAATTGTCTAACCAGTTAAGAAATATCATGTAAAATTGATAAGTATTATTTCACAAATTTATAATAAGACTTTACATAATCAATCACTGATTTGACTAATCACTGAACTAATAAACTATCTGTTTAGGTGTGATAACATCAGGTTAGGATTTTTAAAAATGATATACTGGTAAAGATACTCAACCTAAAATTTACAATTATTTTAAGTTAAGATAATGTGTTTATTCCCGAAATGTAAATGGGGAGTATCTGTTTCAAAATAAGTAAAGTGATGACTTGCCGATGTTGTGACTGCTGACTAATTTGGTATTATGGGACTAACCTCAAAATAAGATAATATGTCAACAAGATTAAGTTTGTTTAGTAAAGCATCCGATTTAATTAATCTCGTCATTTTTCAAAATTAACATATTTCTTGAAATAATTAGTGATACTTGTTGCATTCGTGAACTGATTATTGGATTGTCTTGAACAAATACTGAGCATTTGATCATACCAGCCTAGTCTTTTAAAAGTTAGGCAAGAACCAACTGGATTTAAAAGCTAACATCATGTACCCTGTTTAAATAATTCATAAATACTTTGTTGTCGGTACACCAATTTCACTCATGCTCGTAACAATTAAAATTATGAGTAATTTGACTTCCTTTCTCAAGAGTACTAAGTTTTTAAATTAACAAGAGACCAGGGCATAGAGATATGAATATTGTTTTTTGATATGTATCTTCAGGTAATTGATTGGCTTACTTCAGCATTGAGTCTCCTTCCACTGTCAATATCCTCTCCATCAAGTCCTCTTAGGATTCTCCACCGTCTTCCTAGCAAACAGCTAGGAATATAACACTTTGTCAGATCAAGTCCATATTCGACAACTCGTGCCTCCAGAACCGTAACTCAAGCCACCTGAGAGCAATAGAACACAAACTTTCGGTCACGACTTAGCTCTTGCTCATCAAACTTACAAATATTCCTTCCATGTCTATCAGATTTAAAGTTGTCCTTCCCACACCTCTAAATAACTCTTATTTCTCTGATAATCCCTTCTCGTATACCTTCATCTTGCAACTCTAATGCTAACGATTTGAGTGCATGAAGTGTTATTCACGGTCTCCTGAAACCACGCTCTAAACTCCATGTTCAAACTTGTGTCAGATAGGAAAACAGCTTCCTAAGCTAGGACTTTAATATCTCGCCTCATTGATAAATGCTGCGTCTCTGAAACAGCATATAGGATTTAAGTAGAGTCATCCATTTAACTTCACCTTGTCAACATACAAAACCGTCGCGATATACGCTTTATGTATCTGGAAGCCCCGCTGCTGCTTTTTGTGGCCTCTGGTGTAGGTATAGCATCAAGTTCTAAAGTAGAACTAGCACGCTTAGACTGGATTCTAGTAACCAGTCACTTATG